AAGAAAAGCATCCCACTCTCCCCACAGAAAACAATCCTCCAGGATCGTTAACCGGGGCGGTGATATCAGCATGATGTCCACCAGGATTGTCCGGAAAACTAAATGTTCCAGAAGCTGTGGGTCGCGGATCCTCTTGGCGTGTGGCAATACCGCGAGAGGGTGCGTGGGTATATAGCGGTCCGCTCGGGCATGTTACATTTTCCGTCCGCGCTCAATCAATCTTTCCCCGGATTCTGGATCCCCGCATGGAGCAAGCCCATCCACAATGCTACTGCGACTTTACCCTGCCAACTCCCCTCTGTCCTTTTGCCCGGATGCAGGGGCCGGCCCGTACGACTTACTTGCTTGCTACGGTAGTTAGTTACATATCAAAGGAACCCCGTGGCGTCTCGCCATCCAATGTCTCAGCGGTCAGCGATGCGAAACGAAGCGGACCCGTCGCACATATCCCTGGCTTGGGCTGGGGCGTGGGCACGTCATGACTCGATGCGCTGTAGCAAGGGGTGGTGGTAATTGGACTGGGCTGGGCTGGGCTGTGTCTTTTTTTTTTTTTTTTTTTTTTTTTTTTTGGCGCCTTTTCAGCTGAGCTGACAAAAGGCGGCGGCGTCCGGCCTGGAACGAGTTGCCTTTTCGCGTCGTTCTTCCTTGCGTAATTGCGGGGGTGGTTACGAAGATAAGGAAGGGCCAGATTGGTCACCGCAATCTTTGGGGGATCAACGCGATAATCCATGAATAATAAATAACCTCCCCGGAGCCGGAGGCCGTTTGTGCTCCGGACTCCTTGTAGTGTAGTAACTGGCGGTGCCCACGATCCCTGAGGCGTTTCCCCCGCCGGCTTTCCCTTTACGAATTTGCTGTGTTTTAGCCGCGGGAGGCGTGCGATGAGCTGGAGAGCAGGGCCGAAGCCCGACTGGACCTTACACGCATTACTATTAGGTGATAAGCTGGGGGATGGCGGGGGGTTGGAATCTATGAGTCAAGAAATCTGCTCTCGACGCCTATTACTACTTCAGCCTATATGTACGGTGAAAATTCTGCTCTCAAATAGTGCGTGGGGGACACATCCCTAGTACAATATTATCTGTCGATCCTGCGATCAGGGGGGCGCGGGATCTTCGGCCGGAAGGGGATAAAGGGAAAACGGGAGCCAAATTCCGTGACATTTGAAACTCGGCAAAATGCGGGTAATTGCAGACACTCTGACACCTCTCACCATAGTTGTACAGTCGTCGTCGTAGTTGGTGTACGCTGGATGGTGGGATCCATCCCCTGCAGATCAGGCCGACTCCGGAGTACAGTAGGATGGATCACGCCATTCCCCAGGGTGTTTCTCCAGATCATCCCTTCCGGCGTCTGAGGCTGCCGGATTCGGCGGTGGAGCCCCCACGTCTGTTCCAACACCCAAACCTGTCCTATCTCGCCTGCTCGGTAACCGGGCCGGCAGTCGAGGTGAACAGGCCAAAGTGCGGGGAGTCCTCCTTGCCAGCTTAAGATCTACATCAAGAATAGCAGGGAGCTGCAGAGATAGCCGTCAAAACCTGATAGCGGAGGACGAGTTCCCAGATGACTAGAAGACTGACCTTCCAAGATAAGAGCCATGATCATCCATTGGCCATCACATGCCTCCCCTCCCTATCACGACTGACCTAACGAATCGGGGGGTCTCGTTCTTTATCCCCAAGAGAGAGAGGGCCACCTCCCTCCCTATCGGGGGCCGGACCCGGGGCAATACTGGCCGAGTCGGGGGAACTCCCAGCTGGGTCACAAAGGCATTTACGATTGCCTAATCCATCATCATGGACAGCGCCAATCCGGGGTATGTGCCTCGTCGAGGACTGCCTCGATGGGGATCACTATGAGTGCAATGCGGCGTCATCGATGATCCTGGCTCACATCAGGGCAAACCCGCGTTAGCCGGCGTAAGGGCACGCACCCGATCACGCCACACGGTTCTTCAGCAAATTATGAGGTAATCCCCGTCCCCACACCGGGCATCCTGGAATGGAGTGCATACGTGTATACCGCAGGGGGGGTGGGCGTACAGGACGGGGGAGAAGGGCGTACAATAACGACGGGCAGTCCGATGGACATCCAGTGGACGGCCAAATCCAAGACCCTCGGAAATTCTCCCTAAAAAGAAATAATCATGATGAATTAAAAAAAAAATCCAGATTCGCCCCAGTAGTTAGTTCCCTCAACCCCTAACTAAGCCCTTCTCCACACGGACAAAAAAATTCTTTTCTTTTTTTTTTTTTTTCCCCGATTCCGACCTTCGCCCTTTCTCCCCGATTTCTCCCATTCCTCCCTTCCCCTCCATTCTTCTTCTTTCCTCGCCTTTTATTATCTCGCCCTCCCCAGATCCGCGGCCCCGTCTCCAGATTCCTTTCCCTCTCTTTATTCTTTTTCTCTTCTCCCTCGCTCTCCCTCTTTCCATCCCTTCTACCCCAAACCCCCCGCCAACAAGAAAAAGAAAGATTACACCTTGCCCGATCTACAACTAGTCGATCGCTAGGGCGCTTCCTTGAGTCTGGACCCTCGATCATCCCTGCGGTGACCAGTCCTTTCATCATATCCCATTCCATCCCCGGACGCCTCGGTTCCTCCTTTCACATTCCCACCGCCGTCTCATAAAGACCCTCTCTCGTCCCACCTGGGATTTTCACATGCCGCCTCCAACATCGGGTTTCTCAAATCTACTGAACCCGCCCAACGAGGCTGCCTCTTCTACCCCAACAGACTCATCTGAATCTTCCATGGCCTCCTCTGCGAGCCTCCTACCGCCACTCATGAAGGGTGCTCGTCCCGCGACCGAAGAGGTTCGCCAGGACCTCCCCCGGCCCTACAAGTGTCCCCTGTGCGACCGGGCCTTCCATCGTCTGGAGCATCAGACTCGCCACATCCGCACGCACACTGGCGAGAAGCCTCATGCCTGCCAGTTCCCCGGCTGCACCAAGCGCTTCAGTCGATCCGATGAACTCACTCGTCACTCGCGCATCCACAACAACCCCAACTCGCGCCGCAGTAACAAGGCTCAGCATCTGGCTGCGGCCGCTGCCGCAGCGGCCGGTCAGGATACCCCCATGGCCAGCACGGGCAACATGATGCCACCTCCCACCAAGCCGATTACTCGCTCCGCCCCGGTCTCCCAGGTCGGATCTCCGGACGTCTCGCCGCCGCACTCCTTCTCCAACTATGCCAATCACATGCGCTCCAATTTGGGCCCCTACTCGCGCAGTGGCGAGCGTGCTTCCTCGGGTATGGACATCAACCTGCTGGCCACCGCAGCCTCACAGGTCGAGCGTGACGACCACAGCGGCTATCACTCGCGCGGCCCCGTGTTCGGATCCCGCCACCACGGCAGCAGTCGCGGCCTGCCGTCTTTGTCGGCCTATGCCATCTCCCAGAACATGACCCGGTCGCATTCCAACGATGACGACGACGGCTACGGGCATCGCGTCAAGCGCTCGCGACCCAACTCGCCCAACTCCACCGCGCCTTCCTCTCCCACCTTCTCCCACGACTCGCTGTCCCCAACGCCCGACCACACTCCTCTGGCGACGCCCGCCCATTCCCCTCGTCTCCGCCCGATGGGCCAACACGAGCTGCACCTCCCGTCAATCCGCCACCTGTCGCTCCAGCACACTCCCGCTCTGGCCCCCATGGAGCCCCAGCCCGAAGGCCCCAACTACTACAGCCCCGGTCCGGGCAACATGGGGCCGAGTCTCAGCGACATCATGTCCAAATCGGACGGGACGCAGCGCAAGCTGCCCGTGCCGCAGGTACCCAAGGTGGCCGTGCAGGATATGCTGAATCCAACTAGCGGCTTCTCGTCCATGTCCTCGTCGACCAACAATTCCGTGGCCGGCGGCGACTTGGCCGATCGCTACTAATTTCACTTCTTATTTCATGTGTTGTTATGCGCGCTACGAAACGATATAGACTTGGTGCATTTCTTTGACTGAATGATCTGGTTTGCGGGCATCATCGGTGTCGGATTGGAATCTGTTCGGGTTGCTTTTTCTTTTTTGCTGTTGTTTGACTTTTTGTGTTTTTGTCAAGGCGTCTCGTACCTACCGATAGACGGATCCGGGGTTGTTTTTCTTTTCTTCGGATTGTTCGCGTTTCTTACTTCCCAAAATTTTCTTACTTTTTGGTTCCTCTTCTCCTCTCCTGGGGTTGAGAGTTGAGGCCTGTGGTCTTGACTTTTTCTCTTCTCTTCTCTTATCAACGACTTGTTGATTTACTTAATTGCTGATCCCGTTTGACGGGAAATGAAAATCTCACTATCAAACTATCTTTCCATGCCGTAGATGCAATAGAAGTCACTCTTATTATAGTACGGATGCTGACTGGTACATACTATATCCTGCCCCCATATATTTGCTTGCCCTAACCAGTACAGGTTTCTCACACTATATGGCCTCCGTAACTACTCCTATGGACATGTTGACGACTAGTCGTTTCCACCAATATTAGTGTGTGACTACAAACGTGATGTGATCAAGCCGACCAACCACCAACCAAACAGCTCTCCATCACACCACGAACCAAATCCCCGCTCATCAGGAGGCCCTGGCGCTCCCGGCAGATGTGGAAGAGGCAGATAAGAGCCCGGTCGTTAACTCCTATCTCAGTCCCCGACTCGAGCCTATCCCCGGAATCGACCAGTCGTTATCTGTATCTACCCCGTACTGTTTAGAGTGTGGTAAGTGCAGAACGGGCCTAGTAGGTAGGGTGGATATGTATGTCGTGCATGCTGACGAGCAGCAATGTGCAGATCTGTGTTGAGTTGAGTTGGGAGAAGGATCATCTCGAAAAGAGTCGCAGGCCATTATTCTCAAGGTAAATAAGTCCTCTTTCTTTTCTTTGTGTCGCTACTCGCGCGCATGAACTCGACGTCTCGAGATTAATGGCAGGCAGCTAGTCCGTCAGATTGACTAACTACCCTAGTCCTTCCTCCTCTTCTCTTCCCCTTCCCCGCGCGGTCATCCGGACGGAGCATGTCGGAAGAAATATCAGTCGCAAGACCCGACGACACAGACCAAGTACTACTGCTAGTCAACTGTCGCAGTCGCAGTCCCGAACCCGCCAGCTCACTGCAACTATCCCGGAGTAAAAAGCAGGGCCCAGTAATCGTCGCCAGTTCCTCACTGTCGTCGTCGGACTTGGAATCTCCCAGTCTCGCAGATAAGAGCGACAGTATCCGGATTCTCGAGAACAGGGCCATGGGGGAGGAGCCAGCGCCCGCCGGCGCTGACAGATCGTGTGCATTATCATCATCATCTTCTTCTTCTTCATGGAGTACGGCCGCGCTGTCCTCCTCGTCTCGAGCGCCGTCGTTCTCCACAAGCCCAAGACGCAGTCCAGGGTTATATGGCTGTCTCTTCCACATGCTGGACTGCCACGAGTCCTTTGACGAGATCGCAGAATGGCGAGCGCATGTCCTCAGCCATTTTCATGCACACCCGCCCCCTCCCACAGCGCGGTGTCCTCTCTGCCCAAATGTCAAGTTTACCAGCACCGGCGCAGTGACGTCTCCAGGTGCATCGCCCATACTGGAGAATCCAACTAGCCACGAGTCGATTCCAGACCCTTCTCCTCTCCCCACTCCAACCTCAATCCTTGCATCTGAGCACGAACAAGAACAACATCCCACGGCATGGTCTCACCTCCTCACCCACGTCGCAACAGCCCATTACCAGCACGGCCACACGCTAGCAGGAAGCCGACCGGACTTTGAGCTAATGGGCTATCTATATCGGCTGCGTCTGATCTCAGATGCCCAGTTCAAGGCGATGCAGCTGCCGCCTGCGCCGTCGAGTCCCGCGTATCATCGCTCACTGGATGGCGTGCGGAGGAGTATTGGGTCGGCGGATGAGCCATATTGTGCGCCGTATAGTCGGAGGAGGGAGGAGAGGCTGAGGGGGCAGTCGCCTAATAATGGGCTTGGTGTGGTGTGATCTTGTTCTGCGTTTGGAGGAGAATGGGGCGTTGTATATTTTGTATGTATTTCTGGCTCTTCGTATGTACTGCGTCTCTATCGTAAATGAATGCTGTGGTCAATCTAGGAAAGAAGTCAAGTTGCGGTCTGTCTATAGATCCGATCAAAGTCAAACAGAGCAAACACCCGCACTTCCTCCTCCATTCCGAACCATTCGTTAATTCTCTCTCATGTCCCCAGAAATGCGACCCTCGTCCTCACTGCTGCGCCAATCCTGAAATCACTCCCTCCGCGCCCACCGAATCCCGGTCGCATCGAGCACCGGCGCACCCCCACCCACACGTTCCCTCGCCCGTCCACCTTCTCCCTCTCTTATCCACCATCCCACCCGAAAATGGAGCGATTATCCCTCAACGACAGCCCTGCGGGCGGACAGCAGCAGCGAAACCAACAGTTTCCTCAACAGAATGACCGAGCCCTCGGTCCCTCGGCCCCAGGCCAGATGGGCCAGCAGCAGCAGACCTCCGGCCCGCCGCAATTGCCCCCCCAGATGTTCACGACCGCGGCCCAGTTGCTCGACTTGACAGATAGTATGTGGTCGCCTGGGTCTAATGATGGCCGATACTGACAGGACCTAGAAAAACTCGTCCTCGTCCTTCGCGATGGGAGGAAACTGATCGGCGTGCTGCGAAGCTGGGATCAATTCGGTATGACAGTCACATAGGCCGACGCCACGCAAGTCTTAACCATCGTTGTTTAGCGAATCTCGTCCTTCAGGAAACCATCGAACGAATCTACGCCGGGAATCTGTACGCCGATGTGCCGCGCGGCATTTTCCTCGTTCGCGGCGAGAATGTTCTTCTTCTAGGCGAAGTGGTGCGTACATTACTTTCGTGAATTTCGGTATCGAGTGTTGACGACTTGATTTATCCAGGACCTCGACCGCGAGGATGACATCCCCTCCTCCGTCACCAAGGCCTCGTTCGAGGAGGTCTTCGAACTCAAGAAGAAGGAAGACAGCCTGCGCAAATCCGGCGATAAGAAGCGCCACACTCAGTTAGCGGCGCTCGGGTTTGAGCCGGAGCATAGCGGTGAGATTTTGTTTTAGTGGTGAGAGAAAAAGTGGTGTCGACTTAGTTTTGTATCAATGATCTCTCTACGCGCAGAGAGTGAAGGAGTTTCCAGCATGTGTGAGAGCACGACTCCAATGGCTTCGCGACCGGGCGATGAGAGGATGGCTCCGATTGAACCACCCACGATGGCCAGGAGCATAGAGGATATCGTCTATGACACTCCGCCTGTCAAAGTCTAGTGAATTCTTTGACATGAATGAATCCAATGTTATAATCATGTCCCACTATAGAGTGAGAGTAGTCGAGCTTATCGATAACACGCCAAGAGTTGGATCTTTTTTTTTCTCTTCCTTCAGATTTCACCGCCAACTTCACTTGTCACACAGCCATCATGGCGACTCTGGCGGAAAAGCTCGAGAAGATCAAGTCTCCGAAGCTGCAGAATCAGCACCATGTATGTCTTCCCCCTGGTGATTCTGTGGGCGCATGGCTAACCAGAACAGACCGCTGTGGTGCTCTCTGCCGTCGAAGACACCCTCCGCGACCAAAAAGCGGATTTCTCACCCACGGCCTATTTTGCCGCGTTGCTCGCCCTACTATCTCAATCGCTCTCCGCAACCGAAGGAATTGTGAACAAGGAACTGGCCACCTCGGTCGTCTACCTGCTCGATCTGACAACCGCCTATGCCCCCGCCTCCATCCTCCGCTCCAAATTCTCTCAGATCCTCACCAGTCTCGCACCGGCCCTGTCCCTGCCCGAGGTCGACGCCCCGCTCCTCCGTCCGTCTATCGGCTGTCTCGAGTCCCTGCTCATTGCCCAAGATGCGGCGTCCTGGAATCTCCCCCACACCCAGGTTGGTCCCCGCCGGGCCATGGCCGGCCTGCTGAGCCTCTCAGTCGACCACCGCCCCAAAGTCCGCAAGAGGGCTCAGGATGCTCTGATCAATGTCCTCAAGTCTTCCCCGCCAAGCCCTTCCCTCGACCACCCGGCCGCTGATATGTGCGCCGAATCCGCCATGAAGACCCTGGCCGACAGCATTGCGGCTGCTGGCAAACAGAAAAAGGGCCGGCAGGAGGCACAGCACCACCGTGACACCCACGAGCCGCTCGTGATCCATTCGCTGCAACTCGTCAAGACCATTGCCTCTGCCTCGGGCGGTTGGCCGAGCAAGAAAATCGAGTCGCTGTGTGAACTGTTGATGAACGCCTCGCGCTCCAGCAATGAGTATATCACCATGGGTGCATTTGAGGTCTTCGAGGTCATCTTCGAAGGTATGGCTGATGAATTCTCGTCCGCCAAACTGCCGCGTCTGTTGGATGCCATCTCCGAGCTGAAGCCTGCTCAGAACGACTCGCAGCTTCTGCCGCCCTGGATTGCGGTGCTCTCTCGTGGATATGATGTTTCTGCACAGATTAATCCCGAAGATACATTTGCCAAACTGCCTGATCTGTTCCAGTTGATCTCTGGATTTTTGGCATCGCCATCGAACAACATCCGTGTGTCGGCTTCCGAGTGTCTGATCTCGTTTCTACACAACTGCATCCCCGACTCTGTCATCGTGGATGCGTCAGTCTACGATGAGAAGACGCTGGAAAAGCTGGCCCGGGCTGCAACAGACCTTCTCTCTGTTAAATACCAGGCCGCGTGGATGGAAGTGTTTAATGTCTGCGCCGCCATGTTCGACTGCTTCAAGTGGCGATCCAGCCCATTCCTGGTAGATATTGTCACCACTATCGGCGAGCTGCGCAGTAACGAGTCCTTCCACGGCAAGAAGGAGGCGGATCGCGTGCTGGGCAGCGCCATCCAGGCAATGGGCCCAGCGGCAGTGCTGGAGCTTCTGCCGCTGAACATCATCGACCAGAAACCCGGCCAACCTGGCCGCGTCTGGCTGCTCCCTATCCTGCGGGACTCTGTGACCAATACAAACCTGCGTCATTTCAGGACCGAGATGGTGCCCCTGAGTGAGGCGCTGTACCAGAAGGTTGTGAATTATGGGGCCGCTGAGAAGACGGTTGAAGTCAAAATTTTCGAGACCCTGGTTCAACAGACGTGGGGTATTCTCCCGGGCTACTGCGAGCTGCCGCTGGATCTGATTGATGCTTTCGACCAGGGCTTCGCGGAGCTGTTGTCGAACGTCTTGTACAAACAGACCGAGCTGCGCGTGGATGTCTGTCGTGCTCTGCAGAACCTGGTTGAGTCGAACCAGGCTATTTTGTCTGTTGAAGGCGATGAAGATGATTTGATTCTGCAGCGTCGTATCACCAAGGCTGCCGCGAAGAAGAACATTGCTCACCTCGCTGGCTTTTCCAGCAATCTGTTGGCTGTGCTGTTCAACGTGTACAGCCAGACGCTGCCGCACTACCGGGGTTATATCCTTCAGTGTATCAATGCGTATCTCAGCATTGCTCCCGAGACGGTACGCAAATATCTTCTCGTTTATCCACAGCAACTAATATTTCTCGCAGGAACTTAATGACACTTTTGTGCGCGTCACCTCAATGCTCGAGTCATCTCTGGCTTCCGAGCAAGAGGCCGCCGCCGCCAAACAGGCCGACTCAAGCTCAACCGACAAGATGCCGCCAACCTCGCACACCCTGATTGACTTGGTCATTGCCATGTCTATCTACCTGCCGCGCTCCAGCTTCAGTGGTCTGTTCGCCCTCGCAGCACACATTCTCAACAGCCCGTCTCCGAACCCGGACCAGCAACTCATCAAGAAGGCCTACAAGCTGATTCCCCGTCTTGCTTCCACTGAGACGGGCAGCGCCGCTCTGCAGGAACGCAGCGGTGAGCTGCACGCCCTCATGCTGGCCACGTCCGACAAAACTCCGGCTTCTGGCCGACGTGACCGCATGCTCGCCATCCACGAGCTGATTACGCACCTGCCTACATCGGACCTGCATTTCATTCCGTCCATCATGTCCGAGGTGGTGCTGGGGTGCAAGGAAAGCAACGAGAAGGCCCGTACTGCAGCCTTCGATCTGTTGATCCACCTCGCCAAGCGCACCATCGACCCCGAGCGCAACCCTGCCGGCACCGTGATCCGCAACTCACTGGTACCGCACATGCCTGACGACTCGCCTGATGCCCCGGCTACTATCGAGGAATTTTTCACCATGGTCTCTGCCGGTCTGGCAGGCACGTCGCCGCACATGGTCGCCGCATCCGTGACGGCTCTGTCGCGACTGTTCTTCGATTTCCACACCCAGCTGCAACCGGAGATGGTCACCGATCTCGTGCAGACCGTCGAGCTCTTCCTGACCAGCAACAACCGAGAGATCGTCCGCTCAGTCCTTGGTTTCGTCAAGGTGGCCGTCGTCGTCCTCCCGGAAGATATCCTGCGTCCGCGCCTGGCAACCCTCGTCCCCAACCTCATGGCCTGGAACAAAGAACACAAGGGTCGTCTCCGCAGCAAGGTAAAGGGTATCATCGACCGGCTCGTCCGCCGATTCGGCGCACCCCTCCTAGAGAGTCTCGTCGGCGAGGCCGATCGCAAGTTGGTAGTCAATATCCGCAAGCAGCGCGAACGCAGCAAGCGCAAGAAGAAGGAGGGCGCTGAAGCCGAGGGTGAGGATGGTGAGGAAGCTGAGGAGGATGGTGCCCGGCAAGCCGGCAATGCCTTCGACAAGGCGGTTTACGGCTCCGATTTCTCGGACTCGTCCGATAACGACAACTCGGACGATGACGCTAGCGAGATTGACGTCGACGACCAGGGCGTCGCGCGGATCAAGGGCCGGCCCAATGCCAACAAGAAGAAATCCTCCGCGCAGGGCAACCAGTACATCCGCGAACTGTCACCGGAAGACAACCCGCTCGACCTGCTAGCTCCCAACGCGCTGGCCAATATCTCAACCACCAAGCCGTCCCAGCGCTTCCTCAACACCGGCCCCGGCGCGCGCAGGAAGCGTTCCGCCAAGGTCGACGCGGATGGCCGTCTCGTTCTGGGTGGTGATGATGACGATGCTGCGGATGTTGAACTGAGCGGCGCTGCTGCTGGTCCGGCGGGTATTAACGCGTACCTTGCTGCCGTCAGTGGACCGGACGCCGTCCGCCGCGGACAGAAGGGGAAGCTGAAGATCGGACAGGCGCAGAAGAAGAAGTCTGGTGGGGGTGATGGGATGGATCTGGATGAGGAGGATGAGGGCGATGTGAATGCGCAGATGCGTGGTGCTGCGGGTCCGGGGCGTCGTGGGCTGGGAATGCCCAAGACGCCTGGTGCTTCGGGGAACACTGGCGGACGTGTTGAGAAGCGTCGCAGTCCGGGGAAGAGTGGAAGGGGTCAGATCCGGGCTGGAAGGGGTCGGCGGAGGTAGATTATTAGACTGTTCCTATGTGGGAAGGTGTTTCTTTTGTTTTCTTTTTCTGGTATTAGGTTAAATACCCTTTCTGATTATTCAGTTTATTCCGGTCTTGTTGATTAGATTATGTAGATTGGACTGTCGTTGATGGATGAATAGGACTTCTTTATTATATCTTAACCTTGCTATGAGCTTGATCCTAAAGTATGTACTGTGTACTCGAAAAACACAGATAAATCAACTGGGTATCAAATTCATTCATGAGGAGTCTTGTATACACTCTACAAGTACAATGATAGAGCAAATATTTGGAGAGAAAAGAAAAGAGCGAAAAAAGAAAAGCAATAGTCCATGCATACACCCCGACACCATAGAAAATCCGCATACTCCAGGTAAAGCAAAGTGTCGTTCCACGTAGTCATGCACTCAAATAGGACATTGAAAAGCAGCTCGGTCTTAGGTAAGGGAAGGCTAGTTATGTGACTTCCTCGCCTTCCCCAACCAAGTCTGCCACCACTTACAAACACCCAGCACAGCAGCACGGCCATCATCGCTGCGCTCCGTGCCGTCGGGGTTACCCAGCATCATAGCAAAGATCCAGAAGAAGGCCGCTGTCCAGACAGAGAGCAGGATAGCAAGACATCCGAACACGGAGAGCATCAGGACGATCATCAGACCTGTCACGGAGTAGTACTCGTGCGAGTCCGGGGAGAGGGCCACCGTTCCGCGGGGCTCGGGGTCTGGGTTTTCGGGGATCCATTGTGTGGATGGGGAGCGAGCTGTGTTGGAGGGTGGGCCTAGGTTGACTAGACGTTCGTGGATATGCAGTGCTGGAGAGAGGAGGTCGCAGAGCTGCGAGGCGAAGGAGGTGGTGGAGAGGTAGTGGGAAACGGGGCAGAGACGAAGCGGGGAGATCAGGACGGCGAAGACGATGGCGGAGATGGTGTAGAGAAAGGCGGCGAGGGAGAAGATTGGGACGGGGAGGGAGAGGCGGAACTATACAGTATTAGAACCAATATAAAACTTGGAGGGTCGTGAGAGGGTATAGATACCAGCATCAACAACGCATCCTCGCCGTCATCGGTCGAAGCATCGTCCTCGGGAGTACTTCGTTTCGGCCCGCGGGCTGCACCGGGACTCCCCAGCCCGCTGGACATGGACGGCTGATCCGCCGAGCCGGTGCGGGTGCGGGCTTCCTTGTGCGTGGTGCTAGAGACGGATGTCCGGGTACCAATGGACGCGGAGGTCGTCCCCGGACGGGCGGAGACCGCGTGGGAGCGATCGAGGATGTGAGAGCGAGTGCTCGGACTGGCGTTGTGGCCGTCAAATGAGTCGGAGGACTGGCAGAGCACTCCGCCAGAGACAGAGGGGTGGTCGAGAGATCGGCGGGCAGTCGGCGGAGGCGGCGGCGGAGGAGGAGCAGGAGAAGCAAGAAGGGGACCGCCCGCTTGCTGGTCCTGGTAGGCAGGGCTATAAGTCATCTCCGGAGGCCGCATGGCCAGTCGGACTTTGCGTCTCCCCCAGAGAGGGAGAGAGGAGAGGTAGGGAGACTAGACCAGCCAAGCAGTCGCACAGGTGCACAGAGGGCGACGAGGACTGAGAAGTAGGGCTCACGGCATGCCCTCCAGCTCACGAGACATGCTGTCTGTCCAGCTCTCCGTGATCAATAAAAGAGAGAAGAGCCTTGGAGAGGAGCAGACTCTGCTCTTTTATTTCACGGCCTTGTGCAGAGCGAGGATCTGTTTGCAGGCGGCGCTAGGTTTGCCAAGGGCTCGGCATTGCGCTGAGCTCGTTTCGTCGTCATATTGGACCGTTTCGCTTGGCTGGTTGGACCAGAGCGGACTGTGTAGATGTCCATGGAAACAATAGGAGAGAAGCGAGTCCCTGTCGATGACCGTTGGACGCGCACTGTTGGTGATGGGAGAAGTAGATGCGACGAACAACACGAGCAAGCCAAGACAATGGAAGACTGGGCGGGTCCGTAGTGGCCTGCTGCATCCAGTCACGGGCGGGAAGAAATGGATCACGTGATGAGGGATGCGACACCGGGCTCTGGGCACTGAATATTATTGGAGACGAATAGTCGGGGGATGATTAATGCCAATAGTGCCGAGACGATCTAGGTCAAAAAGTGTGGGATTATGATGGCCATGCGAATACGTATATCCTTGGCGAGACAGAGAGGGCGGGGGTATTAGAGCGGGTATCGTTGATTATAGGGGAGCATCCTTGCGCCCGCCGAGTTCGCACTTGGAAATCCTTCAGCCGGCGAATGGGATTCTCAACGCTATCTCTACAGCTGGGCTTCAAAATCGTGGCTAAGACCTTTAGAAGGACCCCTTGCAGGTGGGGACTGCACAAAAGTCAGCCTTGTAGGAGCCTCCGGCGGACGCCCGAGGCTGGCGTTTTCTTTCATCTGAAAGAAGAAGAGAGCGGCATGGCACATTTCCTGTAGCGTAATGCAACGGTCATCCACCGGCAGATAGTGTGGGACAAATCTCATAGTATTTGACATGCACCACAGGCTTCTCCCGAACGGATCCCTTCGAGTCCCGTTCCACATCGTGGGCATCCCGATCGCCATGTACCCAGATGGATTGCAAAGAGGTCTGCGACTGGCCCATGCTGGCATGCAAGCTGTTGGTGAATGCAAAGCGCCGTGTGATTGAAGTAGGTGTCCATGGTTATACATGTGGTGATATATATATTCTTCTCGGCATGACCAACAGAACTAAATATGGAACCCAGGGCAAGCACCTATTCCCTTCATACATAATAATTAATACCTAGTAGTTGACTTGAATAATAATAAAGAGGCTGGCTATGGTCCACCCCCCATCGAGGCTGCCGACCGGGTGCGTTCAGAATTAAATTGTCTGTGCTTGAGAGAAATGGGGGAATAATGAACGATCAGAATCATATGAAAAATTAAGCTCCAAATACACAGGTGCGCGCTAACATACAGCAAGAATGCATGCAACCTCTCGGGACTGACACAGCAAAAATGTGCTCGGATCGTCTCCCTGCGATCCGGGCAGCGTGTCGTACGGAGCATGGGGCCAGGCAGGGGGGGTTCCTGTCATTTGCCGGCCAATGGACTCCACTGGCCGGGACATAGTGCGTGGAGCTGGTATGCGCGCGGCTGAGGTGTCGCCGTTCGTCCCCGTCTGGAGTGGTCCTTTGGTACCTTATTATGGTACATCAGGTGGAGAGGGGTGAATTATTGCTGAGGATCGTTCCACCAACGTTCGTTAGTACGTCCCGTACTTGGGGCGGCAGGTCGGGGCGGAAAAAACCCGGTGCATGCACTACGACATGGGCGGTGGAGTGGCAGGCTGGATGCGGCAGGGGTGTGGAGAACGGGCACGAAGAAGTCTGCGGCGTGGCTAGTGGAAGTGGCTGATGGCCGACGGAAGGGGCGAGATGCGCTAGTGCATCATCGCTCGGCAGCTAGACACCTGAAATTTAGGATTGTGCCGGGGGGTTTTATTTAAATGGACCATAGACTGGGTGCGGTTTAGGCGTGGCCCTAGGAGGCTATTCCTGTGCCATCCCAATATACGGAGTGTATAGGGGTGGGGGAGCTAGAGAAGACTCTACTGCGGTCGTCTGGCAATTCCGATGGTCTCTGATGACGGATGGTGGTGAGTTCGTCATCCTGATGCCCTATGAGGCATACTCGCCTAGGTCACATTTAACCAGAAAAATGAATTCCAAGGGACTCCAGTTTGACGCTAGCGCCAAAAATGGAACCCTCGCGCGATCCCTGCTGACATGTATTATTATTCCTCCGTGGTACAAGCACAGACCACCGAGTGGCACAGAGAAGCGTCGCACTAAACCGGCCGCGGCATCCACGGGCGCCCCGTCAAGGACCGACCCACTACGGGGGCGTGATCTCGCATGACCGTGACGATATGATGGGAATGTGATCCTATGGGCATCAACGGTGGATGAGAGGAGAGTCGATGATCACGATGTCCGATCGCTCGTAGTCTCCATCGCCTAGAGCCTCCCCTCCCTCTGCCCTCAATCCCGTCAGTGCCAGATCGGCTCCACCACCCACTAACCGTTCCTGGGGGCGTCAGCCTTTCGTTTTGTGACGGGTTTGACCTGCCTGCCGCTCATTGGTCCCGAGCTGCCTCCCACTAGCGCCGCTTAGGTTCAATTTCAGCGTTTCCTCCAACCCCCTCGACTCTCTTTCCCTTCTCCCTCTCTGCGTGGCCTCCTTAGTAGTGTCTCCCTTTCTTTCACCACTCCCTCCACCCTCCCTCTTTGGATCTTCCAAAGGAGCTTTTCTCTCCCCCTTCTTTTCTTCATCCTTTCTCCATCATCATCATCATCCTCTCTCCCCCTCCACACTCTCCTCCCTCTCCCCCCGGCACTGACCTCATCGGACCCCATCAACACCCGCAGCCGGGACCGTGTCGCGACCACCTCCCAACCTGTTTCCGTGGTCTTGGCACTGCGCAAGACCTTCATTCACCAATTCAATCTCCTTCGATCGGTCGCAGCTGGCTGGCGCAGCTGGTGTCGTGTGAGGCAACCCTCGCGCGCCCTGTCGATTTCGTTCCCCTCAATCGTCCACGAAACGGGCTAGACGGCTGGAAGAGAACACTGGCCACCTACAGCTAGTGTGTGTGGTTACTCGTTGATTGCATCATCGTGTCGCAAAAGCCGATCGGAAAAGCTTTTGTTGCACGTCGGATCCGATTGAACCACAATCCTTCTCCATCAAAACCCCGGGAACCATGTCCCACACGCAACCATCCCCCACCACCGGGGTTGCGCCGCACCAGGCGCACCTCGCGGCGCACGCCCAGGTCAATGGCCACATGCCTCCTATGCCGACGCAGGGCCCCAAGGGAGTCCCGCTTTCCACAGCGCAGAAGATCGCGGCGCTCAATGAGCAGGTGTGGCTGCAAATCGGTAAGCAACGGCTATATCTTTCCAGAAACAACCAACAATACTGACTCACACGCTATAGGCAGCTTGACTGAATTGATGGGCGATCTGGATGGCGCCATGAACGCATACGAGCAGGCTCTTCGCCACAATCAGTGGTCGATCCCTGCCATGAACGCCATCTCGTGTATCCTACGCACGAAGGAGCAGTTCCCCAAGGCGATCGAGTACCTACAAAACATTCTCAAGCTGGACCCCGCCAATGGGGAAACCTGGGGTAGCTTAGGTTCGTGCACCTAATATGTTAAACTGCAATTCAATAAGCTAACTGTCATAGGCCACTGCCATCTGATGATGGATAACCTGCAAGAGGCCTACACTTCCTACCAGCAAGCCCTCTATCACCTGCGCGACCCCAAGGAACCGAAGCTGTGGTACGGCATCGGCATCCTGTATGACCGCTATGGCTCTCTCGACCACGCAGAGGAAGCTTTCTCTCAGGTCATGCGCATGGCTCCCGAATTTGAAAAGGCCAACGAGATTTATTTCCGCCTGGGAATTATCTACAAGCAGCAGCAAAAATTCAGCCAGAGTCTGGAGTGCTTCAAATACATCGTCACTGACCCGCCTCGTCCCCTCACCGAAGAGGACATCTGGTTCCAGATTGGTCACGTTCACGAGCAGCAGAAAGACTTTGAGTCTGCCCAGGCCGCCTACCGGCGTGTCCTCGATCGGGACCCCAACCACGCCAAGGTCCTGCAGCAGCTGGGATGGCTCTACCACCAGCAGAGCAACAGCTATGCTAGCCAGGAGAAGGCTATTGAGTTCTTAGAGAAGTCGGTCAACGCTGGTAAGTTGAATCTTCCGAAAATGACGTCGAAAAAAATACTGACCCTTCATCAGACAACAGCGACGCTCAAAGCTGGTACCTTCTCGGCCGGTGCTACATGTCCCAGGCCAAATATCCCAAGGCGTACGAGGCCTATCAGCAGGCTGTCTACCGCGATGGACGCAACCCTACCTTCTGGTGCTCGATCGGTGTTCTCTACTACCAGATCAACCAGTACCGCGATGCGCTGGATGCCTACTCTCGTGCTATTCGCCTGAATCCGTACATCTCGGAAGTGTGGTATGATCTGGGTACGCTGTACGAATCTTGCAACAACCAAATCGCCGACGCTCTTGATGCCTACGGTCGCGCTGCGGACCTGGATCCCACCAACGTCCACATCAAGGCGCGTCTGCAGCTGCTTCAGAGCCAGCTGCAGGGTGGTTCGAACCAGAACAACGCCTCGGCCCCTGCACCTCAGCCGCAGGATGTTCACCCCCAGGCCTACCAGGATCCTAGAGTGGGTGTACCTCCCGCGCCTCAATGGGGTGCTCCAGCTCCGACCGGTGGTCCGATGCCTGCCGGCCCTGCTCCTCCCCGCCAGCCTGCTGACTGGAATCGCGGCATTAATGAACTGCAATCGCAAGGCCAAGCCCCGCCGGCCAACGGTGGCCCTGGCGCTCCTCAGCAGCCAAGCCCTCGTCAGGATTCCGCTCGACTCCCTGATGCCGGTCGCGGCGGACCGCCCCGTTCGCCCAAGATGGGTGGTCAATACCCGCCTCCCAACACCCTGCCTCAGATTGCCAACCCACCTGCGTCTGGCCATGAACGCGCCTCGAGCGGTGGCTTTGGCGGCGGCGCTACCCGTGGCCCTCTGCCTCCCGCCCCGGCTGGTGGTGCTCCTCCTGCCAATGGAGGTCAGGCTGGCAACGGAGCCGCCCCACCCTACAACCGTCCGTTCACTCCTCCGACCGAGATTCGGCCGCTCCGGGATGAGCGGCCCTCCTCGCCTGGCTCGGGTTATCCCCACCAGCAGTTCCATACCGGTCCTCACCAAGGCGTTACCTCTACTGGCATTGCTTCTGGCGCTCCTCCGCCGGCTTCGGCCGCCGCGGCCGCCGAGGCTGCTGCTCGCGAGCGTAGTGAGGACCGACCGCCGTCTGCCATGAAGCGCAGCCGTGAGTGGGAGGGCGAGTCTGGCCCCGTGAAAAAACAAGCCAACGAGGAAACCCGTGCCCGATTGGATGATCAGAACAGCCGCCGCGCCAGCCCTCCTGGCCGCGCTGCTTCTCCCAACGAAATGCAACGGAGTCCCTCGGAGATCAAGCGTGAAGAGGTCCGTCGTGCCAATGAGAACTACCACCCCTCCGAGGCCGCTCATCACTCCTCGACCTTGCCTTCCATCCAAAACATGCCTCCTAGCACCTCGGGCGGCCCCAGTCTTCCTCCGATGGCCGAGAGCGCTGCCTCGACATCGAACGGCCCGCCCGAAGGGCCTTCTTCGGCCCACACCCCTGTCAAGGAGGAGGCGCCTCGCTCGGAGGCTCCTTCATCCCACGAGCCTGCCGCTCGCAAGATGGACGTCGATGAGGACTACGATGATGAGGGCGCTGACGACGAGAAGAAGACCGGTGCTGCTGCTGCTGCGGCTACAAAGGAGAGCCCTCACGACAGCACCTCTGGCAACGCCGCCAATGGTGAGGGCAAGGGCAGCCCGTCCAAGGCAGAGTCTTCTGCGTGAGAAAAAGAAATTTTCCCTTATTTTTTGCAAGCGATGCCGAAGGAGGTCATGAGAATTAGCTTTGCTGTGTAGTTGTTTTTCTTTCACCTGCCATTGTTCTCGGCCCTGTCTTTTTTTTTACATCTGTTTTCTGTATGATGGTGCGAGTGAGGTTGGTTGAAACTGTTGGGCGAGTGCGATGAAGCGACCCTTTCTGTATCCGTCTTTTGTGCTGATTTTCATATCTTTTGTTACTTTCCTGTGAATTATTTGATGCTCCCTGCATCCCCACCAAATTTACACCAATTGTCAAGTATCTCTCCGTTCCTCGTGCAGTGACGACCGTTATTGCCTTCCGTTCCGGAAACATAAGAGACGCTCTTTCAAATCCTAGTCACATGATCCACTAGACCTAATATGGGTTGCACGTAGATGACCTATTTGGGCACAGGTAATAATAATAGATTTATGATACTCCAAATGCCGACACGACGATGTCATTGATAGATTTGCACTAGAAATCGTGAAATACAGTAGATTGTTTTTTGTTTTGTCAGAATCATGAAAATGAGGAAGGATAGCAGCGAAGTAGTGGCTGCTATCTTTTCATAAACTGTCACGGCTCCAGCTAAGATTGTTGCGGACTGGCTGTCATCAGTTCTCTATGCGTACATTTATATTGGAAATCAGATATAATATCTTACTCTTACGAATTTAATTCCCAAACCCTAAGCAGAAACACACTAATCTAAATACCATGGTCGTAGAGCCTCCGCCCCTAAGAATATTGAAAGACGAGCCCCGCAATGGAAAGCGGTCTCTACAAAGACATTGATTATGCATCTGATGCATCTGCTCCTGTATAGTCTTAGCAATACTCTTTGCCTCAAAAGGCTTATAGTTCTAGGCCCGAAGTCAATGACGTGGGGCGATACTGGAAACGGCTAAATGATAAGAGTACTAATCCTAGCTGCTTACCTGTATTTTCACCTCTTAAAAGACAAGGGGCGAATCCACAGCACTTACTTGCCTTGATGATTGACATGCCTGACCTATCACTTGCTTATTTCGAAAACCTCTACCAGTCACAATGTCGAAATTGTTCACTCCCCTCCGTATAGCCGATGTGACCCTTGCGCACCGCGTGGTCATGGCTCCTATGACTCGTTTCCGCACAGATGATGATCACATTCAATCTTCTCTGGCTGTGGAATACTATTCACAGAGGGCTGCAGTGCCAGGAACCCTGCTAATCACAGAGTCAACGTTGATTTCGCCCAGCCACGCGGGTTTCCCTCATTCGCCCGGTCTCTGGACCGACGACCAGGTAAAGGCATGGACAAAAGTGGTGGAATCCGTGCACGCGCGTGGCTGTTATATTTTTGCTCAACTGCTTGCCCCCGGTCGTGCGGCGGATGAAATGTCCTTGCAGAAAGAAGCCGGTCATGGTATCTTGTCCTCGAGCCCGGTGCCGCTGACGGATAATGTTCCAATTCCCACTGCTATGTCAGAAAGCCAAATTCACTCCGCCGTGGCTGACTACGTGAAGGCGGCAAAGAACGCGATGCGTGCGGGCTTCGACGGTGTTGAAATACACGGGGCAAACGGGTATCTCCCAGATCAATTTTTGCAGGACACATGCAACCAGAGATCAGACAGGTGGGGTGGAAATATTGAAAATCGAGCCCGTTTTGCCATTGAGATTGCCACCGCCGTTAGTGAAGCTGTTGGTGCCAACAAAGTCGGATACCGAATGAGCCCGTGGAGTACGTTCCAAGGAATGCGAATGGCCGATCCTATTCCTCAATTCTCGTATCTTATTGAGAAGCTGCGTGACTTGAAGCTTGGATATATCCACGTGATTGAATCCCGTGTGAGCAACAACGTGGACATCGAGAAGACTGAAGGCATAGAGTTCGCCCTAGAAATTTGGGGAAGGACTTCGCCCGTTCTAGTGGCCGGTGGGTTTTCTCCGGCTTCTGCGAAACACGCGGTCGGCGTTGAGTACTGGAGCCACGATGTTGCCATTGTTTTTGGCCGACATTTCCTTGCCAATCCTGATCTCCCGTTTCGAATCCAGCACGGCCTGGAGCTGAACAAGTACGATCGGCCTTCTTTTTATACCCCCAAAGTGAGTACAGGGTACGTGGATTATCCGTTCAGCCCTGAGTTTCTCGCCGGCGATAGCGGGTAAGTCCCGACACCTTTTGATGATTCTGTAAAAGGTCTATTTTTGGAGCTGTAACAATACATGAACAAGGAAGGCAGTAGTGGTCGTCACTGTAACTCCTCATAAACATCTGCCTGTAGGGTGACGGAGTATCACGTGATCACAATCGATCCTCAGGCACCAATCGCTTATCCCACACAGACGGGTGCTGAGTCAGCCCACAAAGCGTGCAAAATCGTCCGCCGACTCTTTCGGATTCGACACTCCTCCTACTTCGACGACTAACGACAACAGGGTCAAGATGTACGTTGCCCACCCCGGTCCATCTCATGGTTTCATGTCCAGAATACAATTGCTCACCTATTTCTCTCTTCTAGGAGTCACCGCAAGTACGAAGCGCCTCGCCACGGTTCGTGAACAACTTTTCCCGGCATCGAAATTCGACGTCCCTAGTGTGCGGTGGTACTGATTGAGATTTTTACAGGCTCCCTTGCCTACCTCCCGCGCAAGCGCGCCGCCCGTCACCGTGGAAAGGTCAAGAGGTTAGTTTTGAGGAACTCTTTCTGGAAAAAAAAAATTTCGATGGACTAAATGTTGTGCGCCAGCTTCCCCAAGGATGACCCCAAGAAGCCCGTCCACCTGACGGCCTCCATGGGCTACAAGGCCGGTATGACCACCATCGTCCGTGACCTTGACCGTCCCGGTGCCAAGATGCACAAGAAGGAGGTTGTTGAGGCCGTGACTGTCATCGAGACTCCTCCTGTAGGTTTTTTCCCACCCGGATCAATTGACCTGGTACTAACACAATCACTACCAGCTCGTTGCCGTTGGTGTCGTTGGCTACATCGAGACTCCCCGCGGTCTCCGCTCGCTCACCACCGTCTGGGCTGAGCACCTGAGCGACGAGCTCAAGCGCCGCTTCTACAAGAACTGGTACAAGAGCAAGAAGAAGGCCTTCACCAAGTACGCCAAGTCGCACGCCGAGGAGAAGGGTGCCTCCGTCACCCGCGAGCTGGAGCGCATGAAGAAGTACTGCACCGTTGTGCGCGTGCTCGCCCACACCCAGATCCGCCAGACCCCGATCAAGCAGAAGAAGGCCCACCTCATGGAGATCCAGGTCAACGGTGGCTCCGTCGCCGACAAGGTCGACTTCGCCCAGAACCTGTTCGAGAAGACCATCGACATCGACTCCATCTTCGAGAAGGATGAGATGATTGATGTCATCGCCGTCACCAAGGGTCACGGTTTCCAGGGTGTCACCTCCCGTTGGGGTACCACCAAGCTGCCCCGCAAGACGCACAAGGGTCTGCGCAAGGTTGCCTGTATCGGTGCCTGGCACCCTAACCACGTCCAGTGGACTGTGGCCCGTGCCGGTCAGATGGGTTACCACCACCGTACCTCTTGCAACCACAAGGTCTTCCGCATTGGCAAGGGTTCCGATGAGGGTAACGCCTCGACCGAGTTCGACATCTCCAAGAAGCAGATCACTCCGTATGTTCACTCTCTCTACTTTTGTTGCCTCAAGATCATGTACTAACCGACATTTCTAGTCTGGGTGGCTTCGTTCACTACGGTGAGGTCAAGAACGACTTCGTCATGCTCAAGGGTTCCGTCCCCGGTGTCAAGAAGCGTGTCATGACTCTGCGCAAGACCCTGTACCCGCAGACCAACCGGAGGGCCACCGAGAAGGTCGAGCTCAAGTGGATCGACACCTCGTCCAAGTTCGGCCACGGTGCTTTCCAGACCCCCGAGGAGAAGCGCGCCTTCCTGGGTACCCTCAAGAAGGACCTGATTACTACTGTTTAAGAAGGGATTTCGAGCTGTGGAGGGTGACCGTGTTACGTATTTTCCAGTTGTCCAATAAAAAAAAGCGACTACTTCATGACTGGTGGATATGTAAAGTGAACATGTAGTGTGCCTGTAGACCTGATTATGGAGTATGTGTGGTGCAACTATATATTCCAGACCCTTGGTTGTAGCTCGGGCGTCATCAACACTTTCCCTTCTTCAAAACTTTCTTTCTCCTGCTACTCCTACTCAGACAGTGGCTCAGCCACAGACCTACACAAACCTGGATTTCCCCCGGGGTGACACATAACATATTAATATGCGCAGCCCGGCCTCCATCCATTGCGTCATCCAACACCTGCCCACTCCAACTTGTCTTGTCCGCCGTTCCCTACGAGATCCCCTCTACTCCAGCCCACCCTCTCTTCAGTCTCAGAATCGCCTATTCCATCGCCTTCCATATTCTGCGATTATCTCGAGAACCGCGCTTCATCTACAGCAAAACCACCACCTCCCCGCAGGACCACTACTTCTCTCCTCATTCTCATCCTCCTCCACCCCCACCATGTCCTCTGACGACGCCTACATGTCCTTCCTGGACAAAGCAAATGCCGACCTCGACGCCGGGCGCGCCTCACAGCCCTCCTCCACCATCCGCACCCAGACCGTGCATACCGCCCTCAAGGTGCCTGCACCGCTGCGGTCTGTCGATGCATACTACGTCTCTGAGACAGATGAGCCGTTCGAACCCGTTGCCCTGAAATGGGACGGCGCCGCGCACGGCACCTGGCCCAGTGCAGGTACGTTTTTTTGTTGTTTTGTTTTCTTGGCTTGGAAGTTCTTCCAGCTAGGGCGATACTATCCTCTCTTCTCCCTTGATTGCGTGACGCATCTCTGTGCCCTCCTATGGATGGATTATGCTAACTGGCTGTCTCCACCCAGCTCAACTCTCCTCTCTCATCTCCCCAGACGCAGACCTATCCAACGCTATCTCAACCCTCTCCCCAAACTCCTTCGACCCGAAGAACGAGTACGCCTCTGCCCTGCACGCGGTGCGGGCTGCAGCCGTTGAGAAAGCGGAGGGCGGAGACCAGTCAAATGTTGATGTCAAGGTGTACAGAGTGCAGCTGGATAAGACGCGGGTCGAGTACTGGGTTCTTGCGCTGCATGCACCGGAGAGTCAGCTTGTCGGACTGCGCGCAAAGGCCGTGGAGACGTAAGCGGGTTATGTACGTAGGTGGCTAGTGGCATGCGAGGGTGTTTTGAGCTTGACTGAAAGAGTTGAATTGTGCAAATGCGGGTCTTGTTTGGGGGGTTTTTAATTTGGATATACATACAAAGCCAGTCCGTCCAGCACAGGCATATCAAATGAAATATGAAGTATTGCATGTGCGCATGGCGGATTTCCCGTTTAGGTGCAAGCCGAGATGTCCGCGTGGAAAGATTCGCTTTCTGCCTCGCTTTTTTTGTCTGACTTGTAAGAATGCGATCCAGGGAAAAAGTGCCCTGTCAGGATTTTGCACGGATATCATGGCATTCCGATGGGCCGCGCTGTGCCAGGGCGGCTGGCGACAGGGGCCGCGTGTTCGGGAATGGCAGATTGGGTCATTTATTGTTGGAACGAACATTTGGCATGTCTTTCTCCTTCCATTGCCGAAGACTTGTTCAAGAATATTCACTTTGGATCCAACGTGCTAGCTGGCAGTAGTGAGGCAAGGTCGAGCTCGTGGTAGCTGCTCACTGGTTGGTATACTCCAGAGCTTTAATTTTGCCGGGAATGATGATGTCGATCCCCGGATTCCAAACCAGCATTCAAGTCCTCCATTCCTCACTGGCTGTCGGGCAACCAGGATTATTTTCTCTACTGGGTCGGTTTTGCTGTTTGTACTCCTTGTGCATCGAGGCCAAAATCGATCGAGCTGAAACAATTGGAGGGAACTAAGAACGAAGAAAAGAAAACAGGAAAGAATACCTCGTGGAGTTATCTGGGAGGATATTGTCTCCGATCTACCTATATTTCACACAAAACAAGCACGAGAGCAGGGAATACACATACCAGCTCGTTGTCCCCCTACCGTCAGTGGGCCATTCCTCTCCCTCCCCATCGTGCCCTACCCCAAACAATACTCCTCGGAGCGTCTAGGCTCTTCTCTTCTTTCTCTGGCTCTCTGATTTTCTCTTCTCTTAGCTCCTACCTTTACGGCTACTCTTGAAGCGTCGCCAACTAACAGGGACATCGTCCTGTCCACTCTTTCTGAGTCGTTCTGCGCTCAGCGACAGTGCAACATCGACCGACTTTCTCTTCTGTCCTTACAGGTGGAAAAAAACAAAGGAGAGAGTGGGAAGGAAAAAGACGGTGCCACCAAAATACAACAAACGCCTGATGCCAGAGGACTCCCCGCGCGGTGGATAGGTAATTCAGCGGAAGAACGCAAGAGCGAAGCAAGCGGTTCCATTTGAGGATAATCGGTTCCCAGAGGCCATAAACTCCAGATGTCGGACCAGGATCCTTCGGAAAACCAAACCCTAAACCCAGCCTCAACCCCAGACTCAACTACGAGACCCGGGATGCCTCATATCCGCCTCAACTCGGGCCGCCAGGACCCATTCATTGAGACCAATGAAGGCTACGAGCCACTGGCGGCCGTGGATTCGACCGAGTCGCACCCGGAGCCACGGGCTCTGACGCCTGCAAACCCAGACGCAGCCATCGTCTTGGGCGCGCAGGGGATATCGCCGTACGAGATATCAAACGCTCCCGCCTCAGCGGAGTTCCTGCTTCCTCCCAGACTGCGCCCATCGTCTCGTAGCGAGGTGGACCGCCCACATTCGCCAGATCGTTGGTCTTTCAGTCGGTCTAGCGTCAGCTCAGACCAGATCAGCCGCGAGAATTGCATGCCACTCAATCCGTTTGAGGACTCTCGCGCGCCTTCGCATTCCGGGAGTGAAGAGTACGATGTCAACACGCAGACTGTCTCGGAGAAGTTTAATATCATGCCGACGGAAGGGTTGCTTTTGTTCCCCGAGGATGTGGAAAAGGACGACTATCTGCATAATCCGGACCCGGCAGACAAGGACCGTGACTGTGATGTCTGCAATCGCCGAGGTATCTTGAATGTGGGCGGCTTGGTGATATTGACGTTGGGGATTCTGACCCTTTTTGTTGGATACCCTATCATGTAAGTTTTCCTGAAGATGTTTTGGCCTGCCGAAAATTAACCAGTGTTGAAGAACGTGGGTGGAAGGGATACTCAGACGCGGGCATGTTTGCCAACCGGGCGATACTTTGTGCCTCGACGTTGGAGAACGGCCGCTGCTCCAGAATATTCGCAAAGGGTTGATCGACCCAGACACGCCGGAGGATGCAATGTACAAGAAGAACGCAGATGGCAAGGTGTGGCAGCTTGTGGTGAGTTCCGGATTGTGCAATGAGGCAACTTTGACACACGCGACTGACATGCAACAGTTCTCTGATGAATTCAATACCCCTGGCCGCACATTCTACGATGACGATGATCCGTTTTTCCAAGCAGTGGATCTCTGGTATGGCGTCACGGCAGATAAAGAGGTTTGTATCGTCTTATGCTCGTCGCGTACCATGCCTCGCTAACCGTCTGCAGTGGTACGATCCCGATGCAGTGACCACAACCGAGGGAGTGTTAGAGCTTCGATTCGACAATTTCGTGAATCACGAGCTGCAATACCGATCTGGAATGGTTCAGAGTTGGAACAAGCTCTGCTTCAAGGGTGGCCGTTTGGAGGCCAGCATGTCCCTGCCAGGTGACGGACATATCGAGGGTTTCTGGCCTGGTTTCTGGGCAATGGGCAATCTGGCTCGTCCGGGATATGCCGCCACCACGGACGGCATGTGGCCGTACAGCTATCACGACGGCTGCGACGCTGGCATCACCCCGAACCAGAGTGCACCGGACGGACTGAACTTTCTCCCGGGCATGCGGTTGCCTGGCTGCACTTGCCCCAATTCCGATCACCCTTCCCCGGGACGTGCACGTAGTGCTCCTGAAATCGACGTGATTGAAGGTAGCACTGCGCCTCTCCAGGGGAGCTACGGACCCTACGTTGGTAGTGCATCTCAGAGTTTGCAAGCTGCACCTTTTGATCTTTGGTACATGCCAGATTATGGTAAGTTTTCCTATTATTATTACTTTTTATCAACATTCTAACATCCACAGATTATACTGCCGTATACAACCCCCACATAACTCAAATAAACCCCTACCGCGGCGGCGTTTACCAGCAAGCCATGTCCGGATTGACCAACCTGAACACACGCTGGTTCAATGGCACGGAGTACCAAGAGTACGCCTTCGAGTACAAACCCGGTGCAGACGGCCAGGTGACCTGGTTCGTCGGCGCAGACAAGACATGGACACTGGACGGGCGGGCCATCGGGCCCAATGGCAACGTCGGGCAGCGCATGGTGCCGTTGGAGCCCATGTCGCTGGTGATGAACCTGGGCATGGCAGACAACTTTGCTCCCCAAAACAAGTCTATCCGCGAGTATATGCCTGCCTACCTCCGCTTTGACTATGTTCGCATCTACCAGGACCCGGACGAGATTAGCGTCACCTGTGACCCGCCGGGTTATGAGACGACGGGGTATATTGAGGCCCACAAGAAAGCCTATCTCAATCAGAACCTGACTTCTTGGTATGTGTTTCTTGACAACGTTCTATTCTGAATCACACTAACCAGATATGATAGGGCGGATGCCGGGTATCACTGGCCGAAGAACCACTTCATGCATGGATGCTAGATATTGCATGGGACACTGGGGTGTGTGTGCCACACTACTCTCTAACCACCTCCTTATCTCCATCTCTCTACATGTCTCTCTGCCTCTCTGCTACCATTTTTTTTTAATTGTCTTTGCGTCGTTTTTAGCGGCATTTTGTTCCGGCGTTTGCGGCTGTTTGGACATGGCTTTGTTGTGGCTTTCGGTTTCCGTGGAATCTATATTTCTTCCCTTGTTCTTGGAATGAAACAGTATATCCAGAATATCTACTGCCAATGGAGTTCACTGAAAGTTTTCTTCATCTATCAAAGTAGCCGAAATTACACATTATGGATTTAGGGCTTGGCTTGTTAATTTGAAAACCACTGAAATTCAGGTAAAATCTACCATCTATCTGCAACCGGCATAGACGGGTTGTTCAGGGCATTCGTGTAGCAGTGAATGTAGGTCTCCGATTCAATGGAGCCATCAAAGGCACAATTCGTGACAGTCGAATGCTAGTAGACACAGGGGCCGACAGTATGTTGTTGTTGTTCAGTTCGAGCACATTGACGCAGACTTCGCATCCTTCACATCCTGCCAGAAGGCCGATCTCACAATGCTATGTTCCTGATTCGTCACATCCCCAGCCCTAATAAGGAAGCAGGGTCTCGATGAGGCTGAGACTGGTTCCGAGACAGCCGCAGCGGAACTATGCACAGCGGAAGCGAAATTAGGGACATGAGAGCTAGCCCGCTTTGCGGAAGAAGCTCAAAGGGGAGGATTTCTTCTCGGAAACGTAGAGGCGAGTATCGTGGAAGTTGAACGACTTGGTCTCAAATTGCCCATTCGATTTGGTGAAGTCAATCACACCCGCTTGGGGACGTCGATTGCTGTACTCCCCATTCCGGCCTTCTTCGAGCCATCGACACAGTTTTGGACAGGCTAGATGAGAGCACTACCAGGTGTTGTAGCAAAGAACAACAGTTACACGCACCGTGGCCCCCGAGAAACGCACAATTTACCGGCTCTTCGAATTTATAAACCTGCTCTCGAACCCAGCGGGTAACTTCCGCTGCCTGTGGAACCTGCCGTCTGGGGCTAACATTCGAACCGGCGAAACTCGGCACAGGTGTTCGAGACTGGCAGACCCGTCCGGAGGGACAACAAGGCTAACAGAGGCATTAGGTGCATAGACATATGCCATGGACAATAGAGTTTTTCCTCCCCACTAGGAGCTACTTGGAGAGCCGCTTTCAACAAAGAGCAGTGTCAAGTAAGCAAATGAAGGGCCTTCACGGTGGAGTCTCTAGCCAAAATCTGCCGGGGCGTACTTGGAGAAGCTGAGCTTTCTTTTTTCGAAAGCGGCTCTCGCGTATGTCCAAGTGGGCAAACAGGCAAGCTCGGTAGACGCGTCTGCGGACAGGGCGATCAACAAGTTTTAGTTAGAGAGAGAGAGAGAGAGAGAGTGTGTGTGTTTGTGTGAGAGAGTGTGGGGAGGTGGTGGGGAGGTGGAAGGAGAAGACAAGTAAAGAAGGCAATCGTGTTTACCAAATGACTTATATTGGGCCTGATGTCTTAGGCAGGCAGTCATCACAGCAGTCATGGTGGCCTACTCTTTCCCTCCTTCCTCTTCTTCTGCACCTTCCTTCAACATTTTGCTTCTTCACACTCACAGTCTCTCTCTCCGTCAACCATGATGATACTAACTTCTATTTATATGGGGCCTCTTATACTCCTCGAGATATAGCTCACTCTACGACCGTGGACACTGGTGAGTGTTTTGGGTGTTGGTGCAATATCACGACGAGCGCTGACAGACCTCGTGTCTCAAGAATGCCGGTGCTTGCTTCTCGTCCTGCATGTTGTGGAGTGTAGATGGCACTCGAGCTTAGTGCTCCGCAGAATGACAATGGCGTTGTGAGACCGTCGACTCCGTAGTCCACCTCAATCACTCTCACGACCACGTTCTCAGGCGTCCGGGACCTACTGGGCTGTCAACCAGCTCACCAATAATGCCACTCCCAGCCGACACGTTTTATTACTTCTTTTTGTTTTTTAAAGAATATCCAAACCACCGTAGACTCCCCGAATTCGATGATTGACTTCTGAATATCATAAAGTCCACCCTAAGACGCGATTTCGCTTTGTTGAAATCCCCCGCGCCCCCTCTTAAAAAAGAAAAGGAAGGCCGAAAGGAAATCCAACAGCCTTTCTTGGATCTGGTCGCCCGGTGCGGCCAAACAAATCGTGCGCGGCTCACCGCTATGCCGACTGACAGATTGTGGCTTGCGATTCCCTACCGTACCTCTCTATGATTTCGATCAAGACGGTGATGCTATGTATAGAAAGTGAATATTAGCGAGCAATAAGCTTGTTTGATACGTTAGTTGCTAATTATCACTTTGGGATTCAATATCATTACCTCAGAGATTCCTACGTGGTCAAATTGATGTTTCCTAATGAGGCCCCCCAAGTGTTTGAATACGAATTGATGTGTTGGCAATTCGCTTCACCGATTTTAATCCCCCGGAGAACGCTTGTTCGGGAACCCGGCAGGATTTCCCGATAGTTCTTTGTTTGTTCTAGAGGCCGGTTAAATATGCAGTGCTTACAGGTCGGAGCCAGGGCTGAGAGGTCTTAGAGCCAGGGCTGAGGTCATATCTCGCGAAATTTTGTTCTGGATCAAGCTTAGCATGTGGCTTGTTTTTCAAATCCGGGGACTAGATCGTTCGAAACCAGAAATCGTTCGTAGACTCGTCTTCGGCTCTCGTCAGAGAGGTCTCACAATTGCCAGCAGGGCTCATGCTACGCTAGTGGAGGACATAAAGGCTAAGCCTAAAGGGTCCTAAATAGCTGTCGCCGCCTAGCCATACCCCCAGAACACCGATCAGAACTTGGATATCCAAAGCGAGGAACCCTCATAGCAAAAATATAAATAATCATCGAAACCTGTAGATGATTTCCATAAATCCATAATCTATACAGAGTTCCAACTCTCATCATAATCATTATGCGCTTCTTCAATGTGCCTTTTTTTGTGGCCCTGCTAGGTCTGACCGAGGCGGCTCCCAAGCCGAATAGCCGGAAGACGCAGCACCATACTTCCACCAAAGTCTCCTATAAGACCCAACTCGCTGTCGAACCCCATTATGGCCACGTCCCGACGGCTACTCTCACACGAACTCAGACCCTACCCCCGATCATTATCATTTATACTAGCCATCCGACTGTGACGAAGACTCCGCCGGTAGTCACCGACACTAAGACTAAATTTGTGAAACGGACTACCTCAGTCACTGCTAAAGCAAACACTGATACAGTTTGCGTTACGTCAACTGAGTTTGATACGACGACGAGGACTCACACTCCGCCGGCGGTCACTAATACCGTCTGTACGGATACTACTATCACAACTACGTCGACCTCGCATATCCCAACTATATATGGATTTACCCCAATTGTCGACACTCTCCCTACTTCCACTGCTGTTGAAGAAGTAAAAAGGGACCTAGTGTCCCTAGAGCGCCGCTCGCAAGTCATTGGTCATAAGGACTTCAAATACCCTAAGTCAGTCAAGTGTATACATGAAGTGTTTGTAGAAGTCATCATCATCGAAATCATCATCGGCCACCCTATCACTAAGTGGCTGCCCGCCCATACAACTTGCGTCACTAAGACCGACACTATCTCTGTCACTAAGACCATCGTCCCTCCCGATGTCTCGGCCACCGTCACCGACACTATCACCTCGACCGTCTGCGTCGGCACCACCCTACCTGTCGAGACTGACACAGTCACAAGAACCGACACCGCCACCGCTTCGGTCGTGAGCACTGCTTACGACGCCTGTGCCACTAACAACATTGCCATCTCCCCATTCTCTTCTGACTACGGCAGACTCGCTGGCCTAAGCCCACAATACCTCCCCCTTCCCGATGGTGTCACCTTGACGCAGGCACCGAGCAACATCAATACCCCTTACGACTGTTGTGTAAGCTGTGTCCAGGATACCAGCTGTGTTTTGGCTAGTTTAGAAGACGGCGTATGCTCTCTTGTAAATGCGGAAACCTGCGATCCGTCTGAAAACCGGCTTACGGCCTATATTTCGGCCAGGGGGTACACTGATGTCAGCCTGTCGAACGGCGCCTGTGGGTATCTTGTTGGTCACTTGAGGCGACGGGTGAGCTGATCACCGAGCACTCGGAGTTGCTCAGTGGCCATATAGACAATGTGGCTCTGTAACTAAGACTCTAGTAAAAGGGACGCGGGGAATGGCGCCAGAGGTCTTCCATTTCGGCGTCTAATTCACCATCAGCTAGCGTTGTGGGGTAGTTAATGAAAGAGTCTAGAATGCCACAGAACCATCATTTTCCAGTAATTCGTTGTGTCAAGCCAAGTAACAGATATATATTCTCTATCACCTTATACCCTTAACCTCATTAATCAGTAAAACTTCAGGCCCCACAAATCTAGAACAGAATATACCTATGAAAGACATGTTACAAATCGTATATACTTCCCAGCGTTGTCCAAGAAATCCAATTTACCGTGACACGTATGCACAGCCTCGCCCCAACATAGGAGACTTTTTTTTGGCCCCGAGAACGTGAACCCCGCGTTGATAGTGTAGCGGCCGCACAGTTACCATTACCCGGTAATAGGTCTGGGTTCGACTCCCAGTCGACGCGTTCACCGTGTTTTTGTTTCATCCTTAGAATATTAGTATGTATGGATCCTAGATTAGATGATTGAATTGGGCTGGATATCATAATATTCTCCTTAAGCGCTGAACAGAAGGATAACGTAAATCATGAGTCAAATTCATTACCCACCAGGGGTATAGATTGTAAGGTACTAACTAGGTCTAGCAAAACGCGCAGCACAGGATGCATTCATATGTTGATCGTATTTGCGCGAAGAGAACAGCCTTGTTCGCGCTGAACTGTCCCGAGCTAGGATGCGAAGAGCGTGAAGGGCTGACCCAGAGTGCTAGGCTAGCCTAGATTGGAGAATGCTGGGTGTGCATGTGGTGGCATTTCTCACCAGCACCTGACTGGAGACCTGAAACTAGCCCAAATTCAGACCTCACGTATAGGCCTACCCTCGATCCGTGTCGAGTCTCGAAGCCGCGACGAATCCCGCGTCGAATGTATCTCCCAATCAGAGGTGACTTGGATATGGCCCCGAAGGAAATCCGAACCCTTTACCATGACAGGCTGCGTGACTGTGACCAGCGGCATTTCTGGCTCGTCTATCTGGAAGTGACCCGGCGGCCGACGAGATGACAAGACTGTTGTCTTCCAGTACCGCGCAGACATGGGGGAGCCAGGTCTGCGACTGGATGATCGGATAGCCGTATAGATGACTGGAAGACAGGACACGATGATACCCAGAGGTAGAACAGTAGCCGTTAGGATGGATTTGAGTGCGGACCCGTAAGTTGGATCTTCGGGTTCTGGGGAGATAATGTACTTGAGGCGAACACCGATTATGGTGATGATACTGTTGCCACAACATACAGTCAGTAAGGCAGACAGACAGTGGTTTGCCGAAGAGACAACTCACCCAGCGCCTAGCACGAATGTAATTGTCAGCCCGGCCTTTTTGGGCGGTGGATGTTGTTGTCTCCATAGCATCGGTATTGGGAGAATGAGAACCAGCATGCCGAGAACGAGCTCGGATATAGTGCAGCTCATCTCCAGCTTTTTTCTATCTCCACAGTGACCGGACGTGTCAGGGAGCCAGATCTTCGACGGCGGAATGCAAAAGAGTGCAGTGGCCAGGAAGCTGGCAATCCATAGGGCCAGACTCAGAGTCATCGTGCCACACGCAAACCACTTGAAGGTCCGCTGAGAGAAAACACTGACGTAGTAGTGAAGGATAGACAGCTGGACTAAGGCAACAGCGGTCGTCCAGAGAAGATCACCAATATAGGCCATCTAAAAGTATTGTCAGTACTGGTGAGATGCTTGGAAACTTTGAGCCTACCTTGACCAATTGAACAAATGCCTCGGGCCCTCCAGTCTCGACTACTTCGGCTGCATGAAGCCCTAGCCCGCATCGCAGAACCATGATCATTTCCACCACATAGCGACCGATTGCAATAAGCTTGAAGATAGTCAGTAGTATTTCACCAAAAAGAAATCAAGAACATGCTTACGGTCGCTGCTAAAACCAGCCAGTCATTCACCTGTAGCGACCGTCGCGACCACAGTCGCAGACCCACAGCGACAAAGCTCAGAGCGAGCAGAACAGACTGAACAATGAGGTCGGCCTTCCCCAGCGTGTTATGGCCGAGGGAATCGGCAAGCGTGTTGAGGGGAGGCGGCATCGAGTCCACGAGGGATGATACCGATGATGATGGTGTTGAACGATGCAAGGGCGGCCAACTCTTTCGCTCCCACACATTCACTCCCTTTTTTATTATTTTTCTTACCGTACTCACCCACGACTTGACTAGATGAGAATGATCATCGCCTTCAAGGCGAAATCAACGTGGGTGTGATAATATCTTCCAGGATGGGCGGGGAGAGCAACTAGTTAAGGCAGCAGTTGAGGTGGGGATTCTGCTGGCAAGGGACAGGGCTGAGACCCTCGCAGGAATAATGTATGTTTCTTGATTTCCTGGGCAGATCGGCGAAGAAGTCGGTCAAACGATAGAAAAAGTTGTTGTTGTTTTGGGGAATGCCAGTCGTGAATGTACTTGGGCTCCACCTTCACTCTATCCCGCACGCTCGTGTTTCATATCCCTGCACAGTCCGACTCAGCTTTGCGATCAGACCGCTTCGCTCACTCCCCTACATCAAGCACCCTGCCGAGGTGTTACAGGATGCTTGGAAGACATATAATGGCATGCAAGCAACAGTTTTTGATTCATAAGGATATGCAAGAAAAACTAACTACTACGAGTCACAACTGAGCCGGTACAGGCGCCCTTCAAACGGCCGTAGTAGAATGATATCCGGCGTCGAAGTTGCCTCGCACGTCTGGTGATTCGAGATGAGCATCTTGGGAAGCGACAAGTCCACACCATGGTCCACATAGCTCCATGAAGTCGCGCCGGGACTGAAGTTGAGCACCGTCAAGTAGCATGCATGTTTGGACTGCCGCTTGTAGGCCCAGATAAGGGGATTATCGAGGTCTAGGGCTTCGAAGGACCCATAATACTGACACATTCGCCCCCATGAGCTTGTTACAGACATCCGAAGCACAGACAACTTACTAGAGTTGGATTGGATTTGCGCAGTGTGATCATGGACCGGTAGAAAGACCACACTGATTCGGGACAACGCTGCTGATGGATTCCGCACCATTCGCTCTCGTGGTTGAAAGCTGGAATCCATGGCTTCGTAGCGGGCGCACAGAACCCACCGTGCGGGTCATCCGTCCACTAGCCGAGTCAAGATCTCTGTTATCATGTTTCGTGGGGAACAAAACTCACCGGAAACGGGATACGGGTATTGTCTCGGCCTTTCTGGATGATTGCTTTCTTTGCAAGATCCAATTTGCCGGCCTCGCCTGAACTAGCGTTTTCACATGCCCTATATGTGTTCAGCAAGACAAATACAATATTTGCAAGGACGGACATACTCATTCCAATATTGGATCGTTTCGATATCCTGATTCATGTCCTCCGAGAAGGTACCGGGGTTGACCATTCCCAGCTCTTGGCCTTGAAAGATGAGGTTCGTTCCTTGCAGCGTGAACTGCCATAGAGCCAACAACTTAGCACACAGAGCCCGGAAGCGCGGGGTATTGGTAGTGAACCGAGAAATGCCTCTCGGCTGATCGTGGTTCTCCATCCAGACGGTGTTCCAGCCGCCGCTGTTGGCCAGAGTCTCTTGCCACTCAGCGATCACTCGTTTCAATTCCGGAAGTTCCCATTCCCGAAGCATCCATTTGTCTCCATTGTGGCAATCCAGCTCGACATGTTGGAATTGAATTATGAGATTGAGTTCCGGCCGAGGCTTGTACTTCGATGTATACTCCACTGCTTGGTGTGGGGTGACTCCACAAGACATCTCAGCCAGTGTAACGACATCGTAGTGGGCGAAAACCTGCTCGTACATTTCTTGCAGATATTCATGGATACGTGGTCTAGAAGTGTCAGATATTGAGCTGTTTGCTTTTACAGTGGTCCTACCCATTGGCAAATAGATAGTTGGCTGGCTGCCACATACTCCCGCACTTGGAGATTGGGGCATCGGGGAACTCAGAAGTTTTAGACACGAGATTCATCGTGTCCAGCTTGTTCATAGGGGTTAGCTTCATTATTCCATGGAAAACAAGGGCGTCGTACCCGGAAACCGTCAACTCCTTTGTCCAGCCAGAACCTTAGTATACTGTATAGCTCTTGTCGAACTTCTTCACAATCCCAGTTGAGATCCGGTTGGTTTTTCCCGAATATATGCAAATCTTGGAGATCTATCGTCAGCATAGGCTCCAGGCTTCGGGAAAGCTGCACCTTGACAACAACTGACAGAACTCGCCGGCTTCTTCGTCAAACTCCCATGTTGATCCTGATAGGAAATAAGCCGCCAAATTCCTTTTTCGGGGTATATCAATATGCTACCGGCGAAAGTGCTCTCCCAGTTATTTGGCGGAACCGGTTTTCCTTGACCGTCCGGCTTTCCTGGGCTCCAGAAATACCAATCTCGCTTTCCGAGACGAGGGTTCTTGCGAGCGCGCCTAGAGGTTTGGAACCATTCGTGCTTGGATTACCAACATCAGCATACATCCCGAGATAAATCTTCAGTACTGACCGTATCCGCGGTGTGATTCAAGGCAATATCGAGAACGATTTTTAGACCACGATTATGTGTTTCCTGGACCAACAACTCCATATCTTCCATCGTGCCGAAAATAGGGTTGACTTTGCGATAGTCACTAATATCATACCTGCTCCGATATTAGCTCTCAAGTTTGGATAAATTAGAAAAAAACAACATACCCCATGTCACACATGGGCGATTCATATATAGGAGAGATCCATATGACATCGACACCCAGTGCGACGAAATAATCGAGCCGCTCCATGATTCCGCGAAGGTCACCCTTGCCATCTCCATTTGTGTCTTGGAAGCTCTGGATGAGCACCTGGTATATGCTTGCTTTCTGCCACCAGTGCAGTTTGTCTAGACTGTCGACATCTTCAGAGTCGCTCGTTGTGCCCGATTCGTCGCTACTCCCCATTGAGACCGGTGAGCTGCGATTTAATACTGGTGATAGTTTCGCGGGACCGCCGGGGGCTTCCGATAGCGCCTCTATATTCGAAGTTCACTCACTTTTTTCAAAAGTGAACGCAGCCATGGGCGCAGAAGGGGACGCAGAAAACACATATTCCATATCTTAGCAGAGTATTTCTGGGGGCATCTGAAGTCATAGGAAGGTAATGCATGGCAAACGACGAGATGCTCACCCGTCGGGGAGGCGTTCCACCGTAAGTCGGTCCCGAAGAAAATGGAGACAATCATAATTGGATCAACCAAACTAAAGATGATGAATGAACAACGAAGGCGAGGCAAGTATTCTGCGGCCAGTATATCTAGAAGGCGAGTCGCTAGCTAGCGGACTGCGTCTGAACTTCTCGCGAAGGATGCTTCACACGAAGTATTCAACTCTGCAGAGAGCATTGACTGTTCCCACACTTTCAATAAACAGAAATAACACAAATCTAATCCGGAGAACATATACGTCGATTCTCTCGAAGCGTCCTCCGCCTGTCTCCCAGTCGCTACGGCCATTTACTCCATATAAAACACTGACCCAACAGAAACGAGGCACAATGGCAGCTGCATCCGACGACACCTTCAAGCCGATGGTTCTCGACTTCGACCGCCAATGGTGGCGGGAGATCGTCATCTACGAGATCTATGTGCAGTCGTTCCAGGACAGCAACGGCGACGGAATCGGTGATCTCCGCGGCATCATCCAGCGACTCGACTACATCAAGAGCCTCGGTATTGATATGATCTGGTTGACGCCGATCTATGTATCCCCCCTCGAGGACCAGGGGTATGATATCGCCAATTACAAGGAGCTGAACCCGATGTACGGGACGATGAAGGATTGGGAGGACCTGTCCGCTGAGGTGCACAGGAGGGGAATGAAAATGATGATGGATATGGTGTTTAACCATACCAGTTCGCAGGTGAGGATTTATGCAAAAATATGAAAAGTGATGATGATGATGGAAAATGCTGAAACCTGGTTAGCATGAATGGTTCATGGAGTCGAAAAAGAACAAGACCAATCCGAAACGAGACTGGTATTTCTGGCGCAAAGGACGCACTGGCAAGAACGGCGAGCGTCTGCCTCCGAACAATTGGGAGAGCATGTTTGGAGGTTAGTCTGTTAGAATATTCTTGGGACAAGACTGACATATTGACAGGTCCGGGATGGAAGTATGATGAGTCCACCGACGAGTGGTGTAAGTACTGGTTACTTGGGAGTATTAGCCTTCTGTTGATGTATGCCAGACATGCATCTGTTCTCTTCATCGCAGCCAGACCTCAACTGGGACAACCCCGACGTCCGGAACGCGGTATACGACGTGATAGACTTCTGGGGCAAGAAGGGCACGGATGGATTCCGAGTAAATCATCTCTCTTTCTGAAACTTGTGAGCACTTCTGACATTTCACAGTTCGATGTCATCAACCTGGTATCCAAGACACCAGGTCTCCCAGACGCGCCGATCAAATTCCCGGACAAGTTCGAACAACCCGCAACTGAAATGTACACGAACGGGTAAGTCCCCAATTCCCTCCAGACAGACATTTTAAGCTGAAAACGGCGCAGTCCCAATATCCACAAATACATGCACGAAATGAACCGCAAGGTTCTGTGTAAATACAGCAACTGCACAGTCGGCGAGATGCCCTGCGGCGTGAACGAATACGAGGCCAGCGAGTACGTAGCCAAAGAACGCCAGGAGCTCTCGATGGTCTTCCAATTCGACCACATGAACCTGGACGGCGCCAATGGCGACAAGTGGCAGCCACGCAAATGGGAGCTGTGGGAGTACGAGCGAGTGCTGCGTATTTGGCAGCAGCATATGCTCGGAAATCACGGTCAGTGCTTTTCTTGGGTTGCGTCAACCAGACTAATTGGGACATAGGCTGGAGCTCCTTATACTTGGAGAACCACGACCAGGCGCGCGCGGTGTCCCGATTCGGCAACCCAGATGTGCGCTTCCGCGCCGTGTCGGCAAAGATGCTCGCCACTGTGCTGTTTGCACTCCGCGGAACTGTATTCCTGTACCAGGGCCAGGAGCTCGGCACGCCGCACCCACAAAACTGGAAGATCGAGGACTATCCAGACGTCGAGACCCAGGAATGGTATAAAGCGTAAGTGAACAACCCCTTTAGACAGAGCAGAAGCCAGGTATTGATATCTTCCCTGTTGTAGTCAATACCAACTTCGCAAACAAGAAGAGCCCAACAAGGAACCGGACATGAAGTATGCTATGGACATCATCCGCCTGAAAAGCCGCGATAACGCGCGCACCCCGATGCCGTGGGACAATTCGACGAATAGCGCTTTCACCACGGCGTCCAAGCCGTGGATCAGGATGAACGACGAGTACCCCGAGATCAACGTGCAGTCGCAAGAGCAGGACCCAGACTCGGTGCTGAACTACTTCAAGAAGCTAATTTATATCCGCAAACAGCACCCGCTGATGGTACGCCTTTAACACTGCCGTTCCTATGCTTTTACTGATATGGTCTAGTTCTACGGAGCTTACGTCCCGGTGAACCCCACGGATCCCAAAGTCTTTTCGTTCCTGCGGTGCCAGGGCCCGTGGCGCACGCTGGTCTTCTGTAACTGGACAGCGGAGAACTCCGAGTTTGAGATCCCGGAGGAAATTGACGTCGATCTGGCTGTCATGCTAGTTGCCAATTATAAGGTTGAAGATGATCCGCTGAAGCACAAGGTCAAGCTGCGACCATATGAGGCGCGCATTTACTCGCTTCGGAATTAGGACAGATACCTGTTTCGTATAACATCATCGCAGATAGAACAAAAGTTTTCACATGCCGTAACGAGAGGCAAGTGGTGGCGGGACGAGTAGACGTTGCGTATTTCTCCGGACTTGCGGGATCGGGTTGCGAGATGGTAGCTTCGCAAGAGGTACATCACGAAGGTATTTCTTTGTTTACTTGCATAATGCCTATTATTAGTATTTTATAATTCATAACCATCAATGTCGCGCAGCTTGGCAAAGTAGAAATCCCGCTCCACAGCTCGCCAACTTGACACCCTTTCATGACCACCACGTCCGTTCTGTTTTGGGCCAGCAACATGTGGAAAGAACTGCCACATCTCTATATCTCATACACAATCACAGGTTTAGGTGCTCTTCTTCGCACTCTCCCGCTCCGCCTTGCGCAGGGCACGCTTGCGAATAGACTCGTGCATACTCTTGTTCTGAGAAATGACAAACGAATTCATAGGCGAAGTGACCGAGGTCAAGAACCAAGCCATAATCCCATGACTCCAGTAAGGCGAGGAGCTATAAGCGTACGCGGGCGAGCCGCCACTCCGACCGATCTTGCCAAGGGTAGCGCGGACGAAGGCGCGCGGAGTTGGGATGGAGGCCGACGCGCGACGGATCTTGGACATGGCCGAGGTGATCAGATAGGCCTGGACGAGCTCGACTGTGATGCCGTGGGGAGCCAGCTCAGCTCCTAGTGCGGTCGACCAGTGCTGCAGGAAGGCCTTGCTGCCGGAGTACGTAGCCAGCAGTGGGGTCGGGAGCAGGCCGCCAAAGGAGCCCATGGTTAGAACGAGACCGCGGCGGCGCTGGATCATGCCCGGCACGACGAGCTGAGTGACGCGCAGGGTACCCATGCAATTGATCGTGACGATATTGGCCATCTCCGAGGCCGGGGTCTGCGCGAAGGGAACGGGGATCGAGTGGCTCTGGCCCACGTTGTTGATCAGCACGGACACATCCAGCTCTGCCACGACCTCCCGCAGGGCCTCGTAGTCAGCGTCGGCGTTGCGCGCAAAGTCCATGGCCAAGGTCTGGGTTTCGACGGGGTACTGCGCTGTGATTTCTTCGGCGAGAGCGGCGAGTTTCGAGGCTGTCCGTGATACCAGCACAATGTTGAACCCTGACCGCGCGAGCTGCAGAGCGAATTCCTTGCCCAGGCCGTCTGATGCGCCGGTCACCACTGCCCAGCTACCGGGGGGACCGAACGAGCGGAGCTGTGAAGGGGGTGTAGGTTAGCCTCTGAGAAACCGAAGAAACAGGGAAATACATACCGGCCTTCCGGGCAACACGAACAGGCTGAGTAGCACGCGAACGAAGGTCCAGACTTTGCAGGCAACGACCAGCCCACCGGTAGCCAGCAGAAGCAGGGCTCCGACGGTGGGCAGGCCGGAGGGAAGGTGCGTGGGCCATTGCGAAAGGCACTCGAAGTGTTTCGAGAGATCCATATTGGAGGAGAGAGAGAATAACACAGAGAGAGGGAGGTGAAAAAGAGAGAGTGTTGTGGAACAGGGAGAAAGAAAGGAAAAAAGGTTGGGGAGAGATGATCAACGCCAAGAATCAAACCCATATGATGACCTCGGTCTTTTTCTTCTTCTTCAGCAGCCAACAAACAAACAAACAACAGCCATGTCGTCGCTGCTGTCCTACCTTCCTCCCTTCGAGGGCCTGCTTCCCAAGTGGCTATTCCTGGTACATTGATTTCTTCCCCTTCTTCTATGTTCCACCTAATTGATCCTCTGCCTACTAGGTTTCCGTCATCTCCGCTGTGAACAGCCTCCAAGCCATTCGCTCCCCAGACTACACAGCCCAGCTGTACAACGGCCAGGTAAACGGCCAATCCCCCGTGAACCCACTCGCCAGCCGGCTTTTCGGAACGTGGACCCTTCTCTCAGCGGCCGTCCGCCTGACCGCCGCGTACCACATCACCACGCCCGCTGTGTACGATCTCGCCGCGTCCACCTTTGGCATTGCCCTGGTGCATTTTGTGAGCGAGTGGCTCGCCTTTGGGAGCGCGGGCCTGCGTGGACGATTCGTGAGCCCGCTCATTGTGGCGTCGTCTACTTTGGCGTGGATGGTGACGCAGCGCGGGGAGTATCTGGCTCTGTAGGATGGATGCATTTCCTGCAGTTATATAATTGGGAGAAGAGAGAATTGGTTAAGCCATGTATATGTGTGTTCTGTATTTGTGTGTATGGACTTCAATTGACTCTACACTACATTGAGCTGCATTTCTACCCGTCTAGCTTCTTCCTGTACAGCTCGCCGCCACAGTCCCGTAGCCTGGCGGCGGCCTGCTCCGGCGTGATATCGCGCTGGGGCTCGGCCATCAGCTCATACCTGTGTGACACAAGTTAGCGTTGACCAAAAGAAAAGAAATGAGGGAAGCATACCCAACCAAGAACTTGCGCACTGTGGCACTCCGCAGCAGCGGCGGATAGAAGTGCAAGTGCAGATAGGAAGCCTCGAGCTCGTCAGTGTCAGCATCCAGCGGCGCCTGATGGATACCCATGCTGTAGGGGAAGTGCGTCTCGAAGAGATTATCGTAGCGACGAGTCGTCTCGGCAATCGCCTCGGCCAGCAGGGTCTTCTCGGGACCCGACAAATCCACCAGCGCGCGCCGGTGCGAGCGGCTAACGATCATGGTCTCAAACGGCCAAGTCGCCCACCAGGGAACAACGACGAGGAAAGACTCGTTCTCGAAAACGACGCGGTCGCCCTTGCGAGCCTCCAGCTCGGCATAGTCCTCCAGCATGTGCCGCCCTCCGTGCTCGGCGCGGTACTTCTTCAGCTGCTCCAGCTCCGCGGCGGGCTCCTCGGGCAGCGAGCTGGTGGTCCACACCTGGCCGTGCGGATGCGGGTTTGAGCAGCCCATTGCCGCGCCCTTGTTCTCGAAGATCTGCATGTAGCGGTACTGCTCCTTGGGCTTGGTGACGCTGGCGTGGGAGGGCTGCAGGGTGGTTGTGGGCGCGATCTGGGCTAGTGGCGAGGTCGGCGCTAGGTGCGCGGCGTAAATCTCGGTCCAGGCGTCGATTACGGGGACGATCTCGCCGGGCGATAGGTCGGCGAGCGTTAGGTTGTGCGCCGACGAGAAGGTCAGCACGTAGCATTTGCCTGTCACGGGCTCGGCCTTGAGGAAGCGCGCTTCCAGCTCTGCGTTTGGCGAGTGAGTATGAAATGTGAGAGGTAAGTCAATTGAATCACGAACCATCTCCCTTGCTGCCATCGTAGTCAGACTGCTCCTCCTTGACGGCGCTGTAGTCGTTGACGAAGACGAACGTGCTGTCGTACTTGGGGTTAACGTCGCCCGCGGCGCGCTGGTTGCCGGGGCACAGGTAGCATTGCGGGTCGTAGGCGGGGAGGGTCGTCTTGGAGGGGCTTTCCTGCTGTCCTCTACGAATTGTTAGTTATTGTCGTGATTGACGCGCGCGCTGCCAGGTCAACTCACTGCCAGGGCCGCTTGGTGCGGTGGGGGGAGACGAGGATGGAGGAGCCACGCAGGGGGTTGTATCTCCGGTGGGAGATGTCGTCGAGGACGCTGTCCATGATGATGATTGTATGTAGAATGAGGACCTTGGGAGGAGTTGAAGAACAGAGAATAGGTAAAAGAAAAAGCCGGATGTCGGTCGGTGGTGGGGTCGCGGGGTCTCCGGGGTTGGATGTAGGGAGTCTAGTCTAGTACAGGTATGACAATATGTATATGGAAAGGAAGGGGATTTCGGCTAGATATTTTTCCTTGTACTTTTAGTATTCAATGGATTTACAAAGTTGGCAACATTGGTGCATGTCGTGCATTTTATCCTGTCTTGGCATCGTCATTTGTCACGGAACCCGGTGAGCCGGAAAGGAATCGGCCGGGATCCCGATATGAAATGTGGGGTTGAGCATGTAGGAAGTACTATTTACATAGGAACCGATATGTACAATAAAAAAGAACACATAACACATCAAAGGTCATGATCACTGCCAATTACGCCGTCTCAGAATACGGAGGCGGCGTCTCCAACTCTTCAAATTCCGTCATGGACAGCTCATACCCGAGATGCCGCTTGAGCAGCTCATGAGTGATGAATCGCTCAGGGGTATTACCCTGAGCATCCACAAACGAGACATGCGGATTGACATCGCTAATGCGCTGCAGCTCATTAGCATGTCGATGGTGGTGCGGGCATCCATCAACACCGATCAAGAAAATCGTAACGTGCACCCAGCTAAGACTCAACAGATCGAGCTCGAACTCATCCATGTCCGTGGCTTCGCCGTCTAGCAAGAGCAGGAGCCGCAGGATCGGTGTTTGCGGACCAGCTTGCCACCCGAAAACGGGGTGGTATGTCGCGGACTCGGAGTGTTTTTGGAAATGAAGCTCCTTGATCTTCTGCCACCCGGTCATCACGCGGGTGCCGCCGCCGAATTGGATGTTGCGCCACATTTGATCCAGGTTGTAGTGGTTGATTGTGCCGACGTGATGTGCGTGTGTTGAGAATGTGGTAAGCTGGTAGCCCCTGAAGTTCTGGTCGTGGTTGGCCATGGCGTCGCTGAATCGACGGACGATGGCCTTTGCGACGTCTGCATACGAAGTTAGTATGGTTGATCAATAAATGAACTGGGGGAATTACCTTTGTTCTTTGGCTGGGTCGACCGAGAATAGCCCGTGATGAAATACTGGTCATAGTTTGGCCGAACGGGGTCAAAGGCCATAGAGCCAGAGACATCCAGTAGGATCATGGTGTCATCAGTAGGAGCCTCGGGAGCATCAAACGCTCGAAACGGTGGAGGCATGACCTGCTTTGAGTACCCGGCCGAGGTATGTTGAACATGGCAAGTATCGTCGGCCGAGTAATATCCTGGCGGTGGTTCAACGGCAGAGGCCATTCTGGCACGAGCCATGTTCAGCGCGGAGATCATGTCCGGTTTCAATCGTGGCCCGCCAGCGCCATCCCGGTGATTCATGACCCAGTAAAGCCGTTCCTCGGCGGTATCTTCAAACCCTCTCCACGCAGGCGTGATCCCTCTCCACCCCGACGCCGCTTCGATACTGAACTTCAACGGATTGGAGGCCAGATCGGCCCACGCAACGGGAATAGGTTCGAAATAGCCCGCTCGCAGGAGGTGGAGATACTGGATCGGGAAGCGATTGCGCAGGTCCGCAATCTTTGCAGTCATGCCAATCTTGTCCTGGTAGGTGAGCACGATCTGTCGATCCAGTTTATCCGGCCATCTGGACTGTTCCTCGTCGAGAATTTGGCCCTGCAAACCGATGGCGTAGTCCATCTGTTTCTTTGTTTTGATCAGTGCCTTTTCTTCTGGCGATTTGATCGACAAAGCTTGTTTCAAGCCGGAAGAAAACCTGGAGGATTTTTTCTTCCCATTGACGGGAGGACCGGCGATGGCCATTTGGGCTATTTGAGCCTCCAGCTCGTCCGTCGCCCAGATATTGCTTCTTGGTTCCTGAGCGTTGACCGCGGCTTGCGCTTCTGCGTTGAGCGACGCATTCATTGCGATGGTCTGGTGCACCATTCTGGCATGATAGCCTGGTTGAGGTTGCTGAATCGTCCAAAAGGAATTACCCATCCTATATCCGTAGGGGGAAACGATATTATAGGTGTAAGGGTTGCTGCTAAAGAAGGTTTGCTGGTAGCAGTCGTGATAGGCAGTTTCGCCCGGGTACATGACGGCCCTGGACCACATCTGCTGGACGGACAGACGCTGCCATTTTCTTCGTTTATATTGGTGGATGGGGCAGTTACAGAAGTAGTCGGTTTCGTGCTCGGGCTCAATCTCCGGGTTGTAGATGCGGTATCTCATTTGGACGGCCTGTAGCAGGCTCTGCATCTCTTGCTCGTCCTGAGCGCGGACCTCCCCTGCTCTAATCACTGGATTAGTGTGAAAACGACTTGCGTTTCTTGTTCTTGAAGGCATAGGCGTTTGCACGGGTGCTTGCTTCTCCGACTTTTCGGAGTGGTTCTTTTCGCTGTGGGAGTATTTCTCTGGATTCTCATAGTACTGGTCTACAGCCTCATTGATGGTATTTGTGTTCTTTGACATAGTTAGTAAACATGAGATAATGTCAGTCACGGTGAGAGGAGAGAGGTACTTGAAGAAACATGGAGGCCGTTTTGTCGTCAGCACCTGGAGCGAAGCTGAGAAACTCAGCCAAGCTCTCTTTGTCGGGCTGCATGGTGATAATATTCTATGGACAGTTCTGCGAGTCAGTACAGGGAACTAGGGTTCATCGGCCGCGCTTTTAAAGCCAAGAGAAATGCGACCGTCCTGAGGGAGAGAGTCCTCCCAAGGGGTGGCGGTGCAGAGAGGGAACGGGCTACGTAAGCACAGAGAAGGAGGCTCAGCAAAGAGGCAGTGCCCAGGCCGGCAAGGCACAGGTGAGGGATATTTACCGGCAATCCGGCACGATAACAAAGATTATTGATTCTTGTGGTTGGAATTGGCCACATGATTGACTCCGATTATTCTGGACCCGGACTATTTTCCCCGGATCCACTAGTGACGAACAAGCATTCGGGAGTATGCTTGCCTAGTAGTTAAGTGACTACTAATGCTACTGCTCTAGACAACTGGAGGATCCTTGGGTTACTCTTGAGACTGCCCATTGGCCATTTTCAGGGATCACTGAAGAACCAAGTGGAGAAAGACAATAACGTGATAAACGGAGTTCCCCCGCATTCGCATTCGCATTCGCATTTACACCCTTCGGATTCCACCATTACTCTGGGAGAAGAAAAGGCAAACACCGAGATGTCTACTTCCACGAGCCCTTCCGTCAACTATCCCAAGGCCAGGTCGTAGGGATTCAAACAGACGACGAGACCGTAGACGTCTTTCTCGGGATCCCCTACTCCATCCTCCCCATCGGCAATTTACGGATTCGACCCGCCGCCAGGCTTCCCCAATCAACAGACACCATCGATGCATCCAAATCTGGCCCCGCAGCACCTGGCAAAGCATTGCTCGCGGGCGGTCCCAAACTCGAGCAAAGTGAAGATTGTCTGACTGCGAACGTGTTCCGACCTGCCGGAACTCAGACCGCAGCGATCGAAGACGGAGATCTCGCAGCTCGCGTGAGGACCAATAATTGCAACTATTTGAATAGCGTTGAATTACCTTACTAGATAGATGTATAGTGTGACGTGAACTATTTCAACAGTCCATGTAATGCCTAGATGTATAACGTGACGTCAGGCCCTCCCTCTATCGCCTTCTGTCTTATCGCTCTTTCTTTCTCAACTCCAACTCCCCACAACAATGGCACTCTCGATATATAGATAAACCCCGATGCAGGGAACCTTCACAGCCATGAACTCTCCAACAGTAACCTTCGATTCCCTACCGAACGAGGTCAGATAAGAAACCACCCACCATCCTATCCCAAACTCATCCATCCCCTCCAGGTCTCTCTGCAGATCCTCTCCTCACTCTCCACGCAATCCCTCCTGCCCATCACAGCCGTCAACCACCGCCTGCACGCCCTCGTCCTCCGTATCCTTCACTACCGCCTCATTGCAGCCGCCTCCCTCCCAGAATACAAACTCCTCCTAGAGTGCTTCCACCCGACCTCCAAACTCACCGAGCCACACGTCTTCTGCACATACCTCGGCACCGACGGACTAAGTGACCGACACGACGGACAGGGCTCACTCTACGAGAGTGTCGACACCGCGCATCGACTGTCTCGGCTAACGGGGCTATATTCACGCTTCCGCCCCGAGGCACACACGGACGACGATGTCAGCGGAGGAACGTCGCGACTCGTTTCATCGCCAGGTACGACGCTTTTGCTGCCCGGGGTGGTGGGGTTTATGCGGGCTGACGCGAATGGGGATGGAGAAGAAAGGTCGGGGGCATCAGTGACGAGGTCGGTGAATTTGGAAGGGTATGAGGATTTCTCGCAGCTTTGTGTCGTTGTGAATCTGGTTCAGGTCATGCCTGGGACGACGCTCTTGCGCAGTGCGCATACTATTGAGGATGGATTTGTTCGTCTGTGGCGGGAGTGGTTGAAGAGGCAAGGCGAGCGGTGGAAAGCTGCGATGCGGGTTGCAGAGGAAGAAGGACCGGAAGCGGCGCGGATGTTACAGGATGCCGACGAGATTCTCTGGGTGGATCGAAACAACACGGTCGGATTGAAGATGCGCGTGCGAGAAAAGGAGTGGAATTCGGCTTTTCCGGTGTTGATGCACCGCGACGAGGAGTCTACGGTGGCCTACGAGGTTGATTTGGAAGGTATGTGATAGGATTGAAGGGCCATAATCGTTAAAAACTGACGAGACAGAACTGCATATCCGCTCAACACGCCTACTCCTTACCCTGGAACAGTCACAGGAAGAGCAGCAGAACTACCAGAGCAACGCCATCATATTCGGGGCATTTCCTAGTTAACAACCAGCATAGAGCGCGAGCACCCGGACTTAAGAATTGGTTGTGCAGCGTCATACATGTCTATAGATAGAAAGTTGTGCCTGAGCAATACAGTCCAACAGCCAATGGCAATGCATAGAAACTGCCCAAATCGGCACCGGATGCCGGGTGGAGTGACTGTGGAGCGGCATCCACCGAAGTTTTCACCCAAACGACCCAGATCCAAGATTCGGGCCGGAGCCATGACCGGCCACGGATTCGTGAGCGAAGGTGAGTGTCCGATAATATTGGTGCTGGTTTGGTTAGGGGTGACAAGAAGAATAGAAGGGAATGATTGCCCAGAGTGCCTCGAGTCAAATCAAGGAGAATATGGTTGAAAATGTTCGCCACCGCTACCAACTAACAACGGCACTCAGAGGGTGGATGCATGCCGAGGCTTGATTCGGTTGTGTTGGGTGGGGCTTGGCTTTTTTTTCTTCTTACAATTCTTCTACTTTTATATGACTGTTTCTCTTTGCTATTCTGTCATGTTGATATTTTTCCAGTTTGATCTGCGCGACTTTCATTCTCGCGTTGTGATCGCCGACCCAGAGTGGGCCGTATATTGATCGCATCGATCGGTGCTTAAGCGCAACAACATCAAAGAAGCATCTGTGATAAACATGGCGACTCTCGCCGCTGGGGACAAAGCATCTCTGCCATCCCGAATCCCTTTCTGGCGGTTGGTCTTCGACCAAAAAGTGATCACCGACCAAGTCGCCAACTACCCATATGCCGGTTCAGGCACGGAAAATGATCCATACGTCGTAGTTTGGATCCCCAACGACGCACGCAACCCCATGAACTTCGGCGCCCTCAAGAAATGGTCCATCACGATCCTCGTCTCGTTCGTCACGCTCGCCGTGGCCCTGGTCTCCTCCGCCTTCTCGGGCGGCATGGGCCAGATGGTCGAGCACTTCGGCGTCGCCGAGGAAGTCGTCTTGCTTGGCGTGTCGCTGTTCGTGCTGGGGTTTGCCATCGGGCCTCTAATCTGGGCGCCGCTCAGCGAGATCTTTGGTCGTCGCCATGTCTTTACTTTTAGCTATGCCTTCCTCACGGCGTTCAATGCCGGGGCCGCGGGCGCGACTAATATTCAGACGTTGATTATTCTGCGTTTCCTGGCCGGCTGTTTTGGGTCTTCGCCCTTTGGTAATGCCGGTGGTACTATCGCGGATATGTTCCCTGCGTCGCAGCGGGGTATTGCGATTAGTTTCTTTGCCGCGGCGCCGTTCCTCGGTCCAACCATTGGTCCTATTATCGGCGGGTTTCTTGCGACGGGGGCTGGATGGCGCTGGGTAGAAGGCTTTCTGGCTGCTTTCTCTGGTGCACTCTGGTTGTGCGTGATCTTCTTTCTCCCAGAGACCTATGCGCCCGTTCTGCTGCGCCGACGAGCCGAGAAATTGTCTGAAATGACAGGTAGTGTGTACCGCAGCAAGCTTGATATCGAGCGTGGCCCGGTCCCAATGGGAAAGACGCTCCGAACCGCACTATCCCGTCCTTGGATCTTGCTGTTCCGAGAACCTATCGTGTTTCTGCTCTCTATCTACATGGCCATCATCTACGGCACGCTGTACATGCTCTTCGCAGCATACCCAATTGTCTTCCAAGAAGTGCGCGGCTGGAGCGAGGGCGTGGGCGGCCTAGCTTTCTTAGGAATTCTTGTGGGAATGGTCATAGCCGTCATCTACACCTTCCCCGAAAACATGCGCTACGCCAAAAAATGCAGCGAGACCACCGACCGACTCGCGCCCGAAGTTCGCCTCCCACCCAGCATGGTCGGCGGTATTGCCCTGCCTATCGGATTATTCTGGTTCGCGTGGACCAACTCCGCATCCGTACACTGGATGGTCTCGATCGCCGCTGGGGCGCCATTCGGGTTCGGGATGGTTCTCGTCTTCCTCAGCGTGTTCAACTACCTCATTGATTCATATACCATATTTGCCGCGTCAGTGCTAGCAGCCAACTCTGCGCTGCGTTCTTTGTTCGGCGCCGCATTTCCGCTCTTCACGACATACATGTACTCCAACCTCGGCATCCACTGGGCGTCATCGATCCCAGCATTCCTCTCTCTCATCTGCGTGCCCTTCCCATTCATCCTCTACAAATACGGAGCCCAGATTCGTCAGCGGTGCACCTTTGCCGCTGAGGCTGATGCATTCATGCGTCGGCTGGCAGAGCAGAATCAGAACCAGATCCAGGCTGAGATTGAGCGCGAGGAGATCGCGCTGGATGAGGATGAGAAGAAGCCTGACAATGCGGCTGTGGAAGATGAGTCGCAGAGCTCTGTTGACAGCGAAAGTATTTCTACTGTACCATCGCGCACCATTGGCCGGTATGCTTCAAGGGCATCGCGCCAGTCCGGTCGGTCGATGCATCGCACGCCGACGGCGACGCAGTACGAGGAGAATCCGTATGATTTGGATCTGGTGAATACGCGCGCGTCGGCGATTAGTGGACTTGGCAAGAATTAGCCGCAAGCAGGCATAATGATATAGATGTACATAGTGTATAGAAATAATGTGACAATGATAATAATCGAATAACTTGAGGCGATGTAGTTGCCCCGAATTGCTTGATCACTCATCATCGACCTCGGTTCGTCTCCACCTCGGGCCACTTGCCAAGCGGTTAAATACCCCAGACCTGCAGACAGCTTCCCGGACCTCATTGCTCGCTGCCAACTTCAAGAACCACCATGGCAGGCTCTAAGATTGACGCCTACGTGGACTGCGGTAGGGACGACAGAAAGGGACCAGCTAAGCACCGCTGATTAATGAGTGGATGACAGTTTCACCATATTCGTACTACGCCACGCTGTATCTGCGACGCAATCGCAAGGCGCTAGAATCGCATGGCGTGGAAGTCGAGTATGCCCCCTCTATCTCGTCGTTCGTGTATACTCAAAACTAAGAATTCGTGCCAGATTCCACCCCGTCTTCTTGGGCGGCATCAATGTCGGATCCGGTCAGTCCTAACTCCGATCGATCCATCCCTGTCCTGTTCGGTCTGGTCCGGTCTGGTCTGGGCTGACATGAATCACTTACATCAGGGAATAAACCGCCGTGGACATTACCGGCTAAAGCGGCGTACTCGAAATTCGACTCGGCACGCGCGTGTAAATACTTCGGGGTGCCGCCCATCAAGCCGCCCGAGTTTTTTCCCATCCTATCGATCATGGTGAGATGCCTTGGTTAGAACCAAAGAAAAAGTCAAACTGATCCGATTGTAGCCCCAACGCTGCATGATCTATCTCAAGCGCAACTACCCGCGCGAACGCTTCGAGACCACATTCCTCTCTCTCTGGGAAGCGATGTTCTACAAAGGGATTGACATCAGCAAGCCCGAAGCCATGGCAGAGCTGCTGAAGGGCCATCAGTATTCGGAGCAGGAGATTCAGAACATTTTGAAGGCAGCATCCAGTCCTGAGTATAAGCAGGCCCTGACGGATAACACGCAGGCGGCGCTGGAGAAAGGTGCGTACGGGGCGCCGTGGTTCTGGGTGCGCAATGCACAGGGCAAGGAAGAGCCGTTCTTCGGCAGTGATCGGTTTGCGTACATGTGGCAGTATCTAGAATTGCCCTTCGAAGATGTCGCTATTAAAGCCCGGCTCTAGTCAGTCTCGCCTTCCCTTCCCAACCGGGCAGGCGCTCGACTTCCTTTTCTTTCAGTCTCTTCCGTCTCATCTCATTCCTGTACATTTCTTCTGATTCAATAAATAACACATAAATATGGACCACCACGTCGTGCTGTTTCTTACCAATGCCGAGCTCAGCCAGGCCAATGTCCATCTCGCTGTCGCTTACGAACTGCTCCTGCGACCCGGCTACGATGTGCACATTGCCTCCTTCGAGCCGCTGCGCGACGAAGTCGGCAAGCTCAACGCCACCATCGCCATGTTGAACACCAGTTCTCCAGCCAATGCGGCCACTTTCCATCGCCTCGCTGGTGCGACCTTGAAAGAGGCCTTTGCGCAGCATCCGGAGCTGGCGGTCGAACACCTGCGCGCCCCCGGCTTTGGCATTCGTGCCACGGCTGCGTATAAGGGCCTGATTCCCGTGACTCTCGCGCTCTGGGATAATGGTGCCGATTACTTGACTATCTACCACAGCTGTGTCGAGGCTATCCAGCAGGCCAGGCCTACTCTCATCGCGGTCGATCCGTTTCTCGCGCCCGGGATCGATGCTTGTCAGGTTACCAACTCGCGGTTCTGTCTTCTCAGCCCGAATACCTTTCTCGAGCATATCCCGTCTCTGCGGTTGACCAAGCCATGGAAGTATCCACAGTACATACTTTCGGTCCATGCTTGTCTGTCATGTAGGCACATTGCTAACTAACTGCCCACAGGATCAACTCGGGGTTCCCCTTCCCCGTTCCCTTGAAACTCATCCTGCCAAACATCTACCTTCTCATCCGCCTCATCTTCGCGCTTCGATCGGCGCCGGTCTGCAAGAGCCTGGAGCAGTTTCGCAACGCCAATGGCATCCCCGGGCCCACGCCGTCGTTGCTGAACACCCAGCTGCGCCGGGTTCCCTGCCTGCTGCCATCGCGCCGGGACACAGACTTTCCATGCTCGATTCCCTCGAACTTCACCTGCTGCGGCCCCATCCTGCGCCCGTACCGTCCGATCACCGAAGAAAATCCGGCACTGGCTACATGGCTGGCGCGCCAGGCGACGGTTCTTGTCAACATGGGGTCGCACGTTACCTGGACTCCGTTGGAGACGGCTCGGTTTGCAGCGGGTCTGAAGACATTGCTTGCTCATCGGGCAGATATCCAAGTCCTGTGGAAGCTACAGCGCGCGTGTCCAGGCGGACAGCCTCTTAGTCAACATTCGATGGAGGGATTGGAGACCATTGTGAACTTCATCCAGAACGACCGAGTCAAAGTGCTTTCCTGGCTGCCCGTGGAACCGATTTCGGCCCTGCAGAGCGGGCGCATTGTCTGCATGGTGCATCACGGAGGATCCAACTCGTACCACGAGGCTATCCGGTGAGTGAAACAGTTCATTCTCACCCATCTCCCTGACCCCACCCTCCAGAGCCGGCGTCCCCCACGTCGTCCTCCCAGTCTGGCTCGACACGTACGACTTCGCTGCGCGAGTGGAATGGCTCGGCATTGGTGTCTGGGCGAGTCATCGGACAGCACCGATTGTCGATAGTGGGGACCTCGGGGCGGCACTGATGCGGGTGATGGCTAGCAGCGAGTCGACTGGAATGATGCAGCGAGCTCAGCGGATCGCTAATGGATTGGGAACGGAAGGCCGAGTTGTGGCCTGTGAGAAGATAGTGGAGATGGTGAGCCAGACGCTCGGGAAGTGAACAAACAGTATGGATTATCAATTCGGTGTAGTTCGGGTTCGGGACGGTTATGATTCATGGTGTTATTGTTAGCCCTAACTATTTTTTGACTCCATCGCTGCTTATGTGGTTTCGCTCCGAATCTCATCCGAGACCGAGATTGATTTTAGCCGCAGCTTAAATAGCTCATAGATACCGCCAATGTTCGTCCATGATCGGACCGCCGGATAAGAACTGAACCCGGTTATCGTTGACCCCACGCTGCCCCACGTCCAGTGCTTGCTTGTCTTCGTCTTCCTTTCTTCTTCTGCACTTCCATTCTTCTCCAATTATATTTACTCACCAGAATAATGGCCGGAATTCGCGTCGCATGGATTGGCCTCGGCAACATTGGCCGGGTAAGAGCCCACTTCTCTACCTCAACGCCAACAACCTTGGAACTAACCCCGTACCCCAATAGGGCATGAGCACCAACATCGCCCAGAAAGGCCCTCAATCCTCCCTGATCCTGTACAACCGCACCACGGCGAAAGCAACTGCGCACGCTCAGACGCTAGGCGGCAAGGCGACCGTCGCCAACACACTGGCTGAAGCCGTGCAAGGCGGCGACCTGGTTTTCACCTGCGTTGGTGACGACGCGGCCCTGAGCCAGATCGTCTCGACAATCGTGGAAGACAAGTCTCTGGACCTCTCCGCCAAGACTTTCGTCGACTGCTCAACCGTTCACCCTGACACCTCGCGCGCAACGGAGAAGGCCTACGCCTCGCGCGGCGCGGGCTTCGTCGCATGCCCCGTCTTTGGAGCCCCCAACATGGCCGATGCAGGCCAGCTAATCGTCGTGCCAGCGGGCAAACAGTCCGCCATAACCAAAGCACGACCCTTCTTTGACGGCGTAACCGCCAAGAAGACAATCGACCTATCCTCCGGCACAGGATCCGACGTCGATGTCAGCCGGGCACTGACCCTGAAGGTGTTGGGGAATACGTTCATTCTGAACACCGTCGGCGTGCTAGCTGAAACCCTCGTCGCAGCCGAATCATCAGGACTAGGCGTCGAGCCGCTGAAGGAATGGATTGACGAGTTCGCCCCCGGGCCTTTTGCTAAGTATGCTGACCGCATGGTGAGTGGTGATTACTATCAGCGTGAGGAGCCGCTATTTGCGGTTGATCTGGCGCGAAAGGATCTGAGGCATGCGACGGATTTGGCACAGCAGGGTGGTCAGCGCATGCGGAATGTTGAGGTTACGGATCACTTTTTGGAGAAGGTTAAGGAGGAGCGCGGGGAGAAGGGGGATATTGCGGCCGTTTACGGGGCGGCGAGAAAGGAGGCTGGGTTGGGGTTTAAGAATTAGGGTGGCTTTTTTCGGGTGATGTACGTGCTGCATTTGAAGTATAGAATTGGAATTGAGGGTTGATACATTACGTCCGTGGCTTGTCGGAGAGCATGAAGTCACTGATCGAGTCGTTCTCCCCGAGTCAAGCACGATACTACGCTACCTATCCTTGTCATTATCATTCGGCCTCGCATCTTCGTACCTTCTTAATACCGGGTTAATTCCTTAGCAGCTGCAGTCTGTCAACCCTTGGCGTGGTTGGAGACCGACATCTGTTATGTCCGCTTAATCCCGAGCCTTGATCTATAAAAGTGGAAAAGTGAGCAAACCCCATACATCAACCAGACTACCTCACAGTATTCAATAAACAATACAATGGCATCCAACCGCATCACCAAAGTCGCAATTACAGGCGTACATCCACCCCTCCATCCCTTCCTCAATCCAACGCATACTAACCAACTCACCAAAAGGCTGGCGGAAACATCGGCAGCGTGCTCACAGAAGGCCTCCTCAACAATGGCAAACACACCATCACGGCACTAACCCGCGCCGACAGCCAGAGCAAGCTGCCCGATGGCGTAATTGCCAAGAAAGTAGACTACAACGACATCCCCTCCCTCGTCGAAGTCCTAATCGGCCAAGATGCGCTCATCATCACCCTGAACGGGTACACGTCCAAGGAAGTCGACAAGAACCTGATCCACGCCGCCGCTGAGGCGGGAGTGAAGTGGATTGTGCCGAATGAGTGGGCGCCCGATACGGCCAATAAGGAGTTGGCAGCGGATGTGTTTGTTTTCCAGCCTCATGGTGCGTGAACCAACTAGTTTCTCATTTTGGGTATTGGTTATGGTATAGCTTCAATGTTGCTAATTGATAATATCTTCTAGAGGGTATTCGTCAGTTGATTGTGGATCTCGGAAAAAGTTCGTATATTGCTTTGGCAACGGGCTTCTGGTATGAATGGAGTCTGGCCATTCCCGCGGCGTATGGCCTGGATTTCGCCAATCGATCCATGACCTTCTTTGACGAGGGCGAGACAAAGATGTCAACCTCGACATGGCCACAGGTATGTTTTGTTCCCCAGAATCACTTCTCTTTGTGTATTGTGGCATATAACTAAATAATCGCCAGGTTGGCCGCGCCGTCGCCTCCCTCCTCAGTCTCCCTATAGTCCCCGAACAACCAAACCCTAAAGCAAGTCTCGAGAACCTAAAGAACAAACTTCTCTACCTTTCTTCCTTCACAATTAGCCAGAAGGAGATGTTCGAGTCTGCGCTACGGGTGACAGGGACGAAGGAGTCGGACTGGACGATCAGCAGGGAGTCCACTCAGGAACGGTATGCAAAGGGACTTAAGGAGATGCATGAGGGGAGACTTGAGGGTTTCGCGAAGATGCTTTATACGCGTGTCTTTTATCCTGACGGTTCGGGGGACTATGAGAATAGTAAGGGGACGGTTAATGCTTTGCTGGGCTTGCCGAAGGAGGATTTGGATGCGGCGACCAAGGCTGCGGAGGTAAGGTCGAGGACGCATCCCTTTGGTGCCTAAGTGATGTGGTTAGAACATATTGAATGTTTGTGTTTGCCTGGGTTATTGCACTGTTTCAGGCAGATGTTTTGGTTGTTTGTCTCTCCTAGGTCAGGTACATAAACAGGCACCATCCCTCTTCCCCTCTTCCCTTCTCCATCCTCCCTCTCAATCCCACTCTGCCTCCCAAAGATATATGGTTCCCAGACCTTATACCCATTCTTCAATATATTACTTCTCCAAGATCCCACTGCCCCAACGGAAGGATGGTCTCCAGGCAGTTGCACAGCAACGTTTTATCACGCAAAGACTGTTCTCATATTTTACTGGGAAGATGATGATACGGGTGCGAAAGAGGACGTTGACAAAATAAAGAAGTGGGTACTTTGTGCTATATGTGTTTTCATTTATCCTGACAAGTTCTACAGAATGCAACGCTTCGAACGTTCCTGGACGAGTTGACTCGATGAATGTGCAAGATTACGAGGGCACCGGCTTTTGGGTGTTGATCCTGAACCATTACTTCAACCAATGGATACGTGCATCAGCTCAAGGACCATGTGATTGGGGGTTCGTTGAACTTTCTCGTCACAACACAGTGCCTCACACGACGCACACGGGCATTTTCGCAAATGCAGGTCGATATGCCAGTACGATCGACGTCTTGCTTATATAGAGGGCAGGAGGTGGTCACCACCTAGCTCCTGTGCCCATTATAATGTGCATGTTCAATAAGGACACTTTCAAGAGAGGGTATCGGAGGCCAGGGGTGCGCAGGTGAGCTTTTGTTCCAGGCTATTTGGAAAATCAATGTTAATTACGTCGGCAGGTCTGGAAATAGCGAAGTCGCGGTCTCTCAATGCTCTCATCGGTTTCCGTAAGGAAAACTGCCTTGTCTGGCCGTTCAATTTCCAGGTTCCAAACACACCCAGAAAGCTCAAGCTAGGTTGACCTGAAGACAAATTCTCAAGGGAGATCAACCGCGAAATCATTGATATGGCCAATCTTCAGGTTGTCATTCTATGTGGGACCAACACAGAGAGATTGATAGTGAGCGCAATATATTCAGGTACAATGGGCTTAAAGTTGCCTAGATTGAGCATGGGAAGTACAATATCTGGAATACAGCATCGTTACGCTTTTTGAAGATGGGCATGCTGCGATGAAGGGTATGCCACCCTTTAAAGGTACGTAACAATGAAAGAACAAATGAGCATCATCTAATGGGAACAATAGGTCTTGATTTCGTTCTCCGGTGGGAATATTGAAGTCGAGGATGAACCGTTAGCAATGGTTGAAGAAGCCAGAGCTTGCCCCTACACACTGCATAAGCGCTAATAGGAACTAACAATGTTGAAATATCTATCCATGTGATTTTGAAGCTGCTTTTCAAAAACTGGATTACTAATGACACCTCATGCACCCTCTGGAAACAAGGGTGTTATCATCAATATTGCTATTCATGGAGCAACTTCTGGGCCTGGTAATATGGCCAGTGAGTTGCGGATCAAGACAATCAGCTACACAAGCGAAACCCGAGATGTCGGGATTTTTTGTACGTCGAATTGGTTCTGAACTGACTCATAGTGATTTACTGATAACCTCACTAGATCCCAGGCGATTTATCATATTTCGAGGGGTCAGAGCATTAGAATTGACTCAACTGGGGCCGAGGTCCACTTTTACAGTCATTTCAATGAGCGATATGAACTAGGAAGGACCAGGCCTAAAAGGGTAGATTGCGGAGTTTTTACCCAAGGTTGCTCACATGTTTCTGTACCCAGAATATTGTATGTTGAGCGTTGATGAAAGAGAGGCGATTCAGGATCGTTTGACATGAGTCTTTAGCTTTATGCTTCTGGCGTATTCTCATACCCAAAGAAATATCGAGACATTTATTGTGCGATATTTGACTAGAAGTCTGTGTCATGGTTTTATTTCTAATCCCAGTAGCCATTATTCTAATGACCAACCAGAGCCTGGTGCGCGGGAGCATATCTGTTACCATGAGGCTTAGCGGAATCAATAATCTTCCGCATTTCCTGCTTATCCTCCTCCGTCAACTCAATATCACGAGAAGCCCAATTCTCCTCCAAGCGACTAGCCTTGGTGGTGCCCGCAATGGGGATCAGTCCCTGGGAAGCAACCCAAGCGAGTGCGATTTGACTAATCTTGCAGCCCTTGCGAGCAGCCAGCTTTTTTATTTCTTCCACAATTGCTCGATTCTTATAGAAGTTCTCGCCTTGGAATTTGGGGGAATTGCGGCGGAAGTCATCGGCAGCGAAGTCGTCGGGAGAGTTGTACTTGAAGTTATCGACTAGCCAGCCGTGTCCAAGTGGGCTGTAGGCCACGTAGGCAACGCCTAGTTCCTTAGCCGTATCAACCAGGCCGTCTGTTTCGTGAAGTGTCTCGAAGGCTGAGTACTCGGCTTGGACGGCATCAATCTTGGCGACTATTTCCGATCTGTGAGTAGGGAATTGCTAAATGAATAATGGCATGACTTACTCAAATTTGCCTTACGGAGTGTGGCCGCAGAACATTCTGAAAGTCCAATATACTTCGTCTTCCCTGCTTTGCGAATCTCATCAAGTGCGGGGATTGATTCCGTAAGAGGTGTGTCTAAAGAAATAAGCCAACCGAACATAAACGTTATTAAGATCGAACGTACTGGGATCTATCCGATGGAGATAGTAAAGATCAGGAGTAAACCCAAGCCTCTCAATAGTGCCTTCAATGTACTCCTTAATATGCGAAGCAGAGTTGGTGACCGAAAAACGCCCTTCTCCAAAGACGTCGAACCCACACTTCGAGGCAACTGCCGACGACAATGGTCAGCTTGAGGAAAAATGGAGTGGTCGCAAGTCGGGAGCTCGGTAACTCACCGAAAACCTTGTCGCGAACGTTGTGCTTCCTGATGAAGTCTCCCAGCAACTTCTCGTTGACGCCGGCTTGATAGACAACCTGTTTCCAGTCAGATTCTGCGGTTCAATTTCTCTGGATTTATCAAATGTCAACTCACAGCAGTATCCCAAAATGTACACCCGAGCTCAATTGCCTTCAGCAGGACCGGTTCAGCTTCCTCAAAGCTAAGATTGCTACCCAAGCCAAAGCTCAGTCCCATTGCACCGAAGCCCGGCGATGGGACATGGATATCGCCAAAGGGGAGTGTTTTGACCATCTTTGCTGATTGGCTGGTTGTCTGAAATGGACTGGGAGGAGTTTCGATTGCAGTCACAACAAGACCTGGTGAGCTTGCTCAATTTATAGAAGGTGAACTAAGTAATGTGGCCGGGGTTAAGGTGGGGCCGATAGTAGCGGATCTGTCATCATGCTTAACTACGCCCTGTGCGCACCTTTAACTCCGTTGGCTCCAAGGGACATGCAGGTGGCTGACTTTGACCCACTTACAGTATCCTCGAGACCGTTATTGCCTCTCATGTCAGAAACATCGAGATGCACTTCCAAACCCTAATAAGCCAATCCCGATCTGGCTATTGAGGTATTCAAAGATCTGTGCTGAGGTTTGAACGGTATAATACTTACTATAAGGGTGAACCCATGGGTAAGATGTATATTCATGTTTTGTCATAGCTCCAAAAATAGGCCACGCCTACCTGATGTCCTTCCAACTCAAGCGTACCAGGTCAACCCGCCAACAGCGCCCAATCCCGCAAAAAATGGCACAAACTCTCGATCCCTGGCAGCGTAAGATGATTGTCCATATGATAGCCAAGGACAGGCAGACTCTCTCAAGGCGTCGATTGTGAGCAGATTTGACCGACAGTCGGTATTGCGTCGACTACATCGCTCAGCCCTAAAAGCTCAAACCGCGAGAACAAATATCACAATACGCCACCAGCCAGCCCTTTCGGGACGCCGTTTGTCTATGGTGCTCCAAGATGGATCGGCTTAATGAAGAGTTCACAGGAGATTACAGGATAGCTGTTATGCCTCCTCCTATTCTTCCCTACTTAGAAAATAAGAGGATAATGGATGTCAGTGTTGAGCATTATTCCCAAATGAAAGTCTCAAACTGAGTCCAAAGTCCCAACAAGGTTCCGAAATTCCTACGGGAAAGGCCTCCACTATATCGCAAAGAGTATGAGACATGCTTGCACATACCCGGTCCACCATCCCCAGAGCTGTTCTAAGCGTCGCAGCGCATCCCGAACAAGACGCTCACTGTATTGTTTCCTTGGTTCGCAGTCACGATATCGAGATAGCCATCTCTGTTGAAGTCGCCTACTGCAACACCTTCTGGAGCGGACCCCACGGGGAATGTGGCCTGCGGCTGGAAGCTTCCTAATCCAGTCCCAAGCAAGACACTCACTGTTCCGTCAAAGCTATTCGCAGTCACAATATCGAGGTAGCCATCTCTGTTAAAGTCGCCCACTGCAATACCTTCTGGACCGGACCCCACCACGGGGAATATGGCCTGTAGCTGGAAATTCCCCGATCCAGTCCCAAGCAAGACGCTCACTGTACCATTGACGAGCCGATTCGTAGTCACGATGTCGAGATAGCCATCTTCATTAAAGTCGCCTACAGCAACATCATACGGTTGGGCCCCTGTGGCGAATATGACCTGTGGCTGGAAGCTGCCCGATCCAGTTCCGAGCAAGATGCTTACTGAATTGTCGCCGATATTCGTAGCCACGATATCGAGATGGCCATCTCTGTTGAAGTCGCCTACCGCAATACCTTCTGGAATGGATCCCACAGAGTATAATGCTCGCGGCTGGAAGCTTCCCGATCTAGTCCCAAGCAAGACGCTCACTGAATTGTTACCAGGATTCGTAGTCACGATATCGAGATAGCCATCTTTGTTGAAGTCTCCTACTGCAACAGAGATCGGCTGGAGTCCCTAAGGGGAATGCGTTCTGCGGCTGGAAGCTCCCTGATCCAGTCCCAAGCAAGACGCTCACTGTATCGTCGGCGGCATTAGCAGTCACGATATCGAGATGGCCATCTCTGTTGAAGTCGCCTACTGCAACACCGAGCGGAAAGGATCCTACGGCAAATGTGGTCTGTGGCTGGAAGCTGTCCGATCCAGTTCCAAGCAAGACGCTTACTGAATTGTCGCCGGTATTCGTAGTCACGATATCAGGATAGCCATCTCTGTTGAAGTCGCCAACCGCAACAAAAGCTGGAGTGGACCCCACGGGGAATGTGACCTGTGCCTGGAAAGTCGTGCATATGCAGGCGCCCGATGAGCAAGCTGATCCAGCAGGGCACTATAGAAGGGTGAGAATTGACAATAGCAAGCCAAGTATGAGAGTTAGCCCAACTCACAGTGTTCCCACAAGACCCACAGTTACTAGTAGTGTTCTGGAGGTTGGTGCAGGCTCCATTGCAACAGGTGAGGCCGGACGCGCACTATCGAGTACCACTTAGACGTCGTCACAAATATGCAGTCTGCGGCCATCTTACAGAAGGAACACAATCTGTTGTTGGTATACAAATGCAGCCTCTATTTCATATCAGCTTTCAGATAGCTCTGCAATCCCAAGACTATCGAGAAAGAGACTAACGACGGAGTTTGTCCAAGGATATCACGTCCATATAAACCGAAAGGTCGATCACCGTTGTCGCAGTAACCTGATTGGTCGCCAATTTTACGACACTTATGAATCAGTATGCTAGTATTGAGGTAACCTTTTCAAATATCCATGGATGTCTCATACCTTAATGTCACAAGCGACCGGGTCGCAACCACCACCACCACCCCCCCCCCCCCCACATGCCCACCGGCAATAGTGTTACCCCCACCCCAGTGGTGACCCTTACCCTTAGCCCAATTCTCTAGAGCATCTTCCTTAGGGAGGAGTGCAGTGACAAAAGCACAGCATAAAAGGTTAAGAAAGATGAAAAGCATTTTGCAAAGCCGTAGACGGTAAGAAATTTGATAGGAAAAGAATATCAGTTTGAACTAGCCGTACTGCTCGTTGTAATGGAGAACAATTTGCCGTACCCTCTCAGCAGAAGGTGTTATATATAGTGTGCACATAATCAGCCACTAACTAACAGTCTTCATTTTAGAATGCTTAGGCATGTTTCCTAGAATGTAGATAACTCAGGTTGTCTTTTACGAATGATACGGTGATATGTTCGGTACATAAGTAGCCACCTGACCTATAAAGAACATTATTAATCTAATACTGAAAAATTTTAGTACCCATTTGACCCTATAAGTAAATTACTTATTTTTGTTCGGCTGTTCTTGAAGGAGAGGCCTACATGACACTTCGGGGGATAGACGCCTTACTGTTAAGCTTATATGTGCCCCTATGTCTAGGACCGTAGGTATGTAGCCGGCACTAGGTTCCGTCCAGTAGAAGCGTATATTTTATTATAAGTCGGATATATTCTCATTCTTAAGCGCCCTAGAAAGGGGTATACGCAAGGCGGGAGTCTTGGCGTCCTATCTTGCTGGGAACGGACATTTACAGATAACACTAGGGCAGTACTATCTAGTCTTTGACTCGTCGGCTGCGGGCTATCTTCCGTTGTAGAATACTCCGGGCGTCCTCCTTGATCTGTTCCCAATAAGAACTGAGTGGGAGAGTCAGGTCTTGTTCCGTATCCTTCACCACAACTCGATTGTTCAATTTAACACTCTACTCGATCTGGTAATGAATACAGTTCACAGTCCAGAGATTGTTCGTCCCATGCACTTCTATCTTCACACTGAACCCTTAGATCAAAATTCAGTTGGTCGGACGGATGTTGGCGCAAGGGGGGTTTATTTGCTAAGGATCTTGATGCCTACGACTATTTAATTATCAAATTTAGCACAAACTGTCCTATTTCTCACACTTGTTTCGTGGTCTTGTCTTGCTGTTACGTCTTCCATATCTTGATCAGGAAATCGGCTTAAGATGTCATTCGATAGTTTTCTCTCCTTAATTGAATTTGAACTCTATTATAAAGCTTGAGAACAAATTTGGGTGTATATATACAAACATCATAAAATCCCTAATTGTTTTAGGTTTTAGAGAACCTCAACGATAGTGATAGATATCCCAAGCGGAATTCGACGGAAAAGACACGATTTTACGTGGCCTTTGCACAAAGGAATCGAGCCAGATGAGACTTCGTCTGATGGTGACCACCTGATAGATTAGGACGGGAACTAGCTACGAACTAATCAACAGATTTTGAGAACGAAAGCTTATATTTGACGGAAAATCCCCATGAAATTGCTGTTTGGTCTCACATCACCCTGATTGGTCATGTCGGCGCGATATAGGAGCTTTGCACAGCATCGCTCGATGAATCTGTAATGCGTAGCCGTATAGTATGGGCTCTCTCTTCTAATCTAGCAAGAAACTTGCCATTCGGCGAGCCCTGGCAGCGGACTAAAGCACTCTCCACTACCATCCATGCGCGAGAAACTGCGGTGCATTCCTGTCGGTAGTGTAGCTCGTTGAGCAGGAAGACTAGCGGACGAAATTGCTGATACCCCTTGAGCAGCCAAGCCCATTGTCGAGATTGGGGTTCTCCTTCCAAGCGGACAGCAGTATCGACAATGTCGATCGCCTGCAGGAACAGAAAGTCTTGGACGCGTTGTTCGTATTTATATGCGCATTTTTGAGGACCAACACTGATGGTGAGTGTATCTGCACTATACAGCTCAAACCACATCTCCATGATAAGGACATGAGCGACATGTCGTGTCAGCCATTGGATTGGATCTTTACTGCTAGTACAGTATTGGAGATAAAGGTCCTCGACTCGCGTCTGACATGCTTGGATTATTTGTTTCTTTGTTTCTGTTGGGATATCTCGGCTCACTCTTTGTCTTGCAATTGCGATCTGGAAGCGAACGAGAGAGAATGTTTGTTCGGTCCATCCGGTACAAGGAGTTGCGGGCGTACTTGAATCAGGGTTGAGGTCGGAGTCATTGATATTCAACGGAAGGTCAGGAATGGGAACCATGTCCGATCCATCGTCTTGTCCAAGGTCCCTGGCAGCCCGGTGGTCAAGATACCAGAGCTGACACCACAGCCTTTTTCGCAATTCATGTTCAAAAGATGAGAGGTCAGGTTTGTTAAAGATTGCGGATCGTCTCGCTATGCCGGTGAGCTTCCAGGAGACTCCTGCCTCGCCAATCAAGCGGCTGACGGATAGAAACAGGACTAGTGCTTGCAACGCGATCAAGTCCTCGTTCAAATTCAGAAAAATCCCTTGTGCCAGTGCTTCCTCAGTCGACGAACGATATGCCATCAAGGATGTGTCTTTAGTCATGCCGAATAAATTCTGAACTTCATCGTCAGACATACTCGCGATGCCGGAGAAGTAAATAGCGTAGATGAGGGCTTTTTGATTCCCATTTAGAGAGCCTGGACGGTAAATTGACTGGATAAGAATCATTTCCACGCTAGGCCGATGCAATATCTTCACGACAGGATCAACTCGCTCAACGAAGCACTGCCAGCATGTTCGTACTTGACCCCTCAACGGACGGGTCTTCCAGTCACCCGTCGTTGCAATAGCGCCATTCACTGGGGTTTCCGGTTGGTCAGGTAGACTCAAAACCTTCGCCCCATTCACAATGATATTTGAGACTATTGGCTGGTGCAACTGGATCGATAGGCCTAGACTAGGCACCTTATTCTCGGATTCACAATAGCTCCTTTGTGGCTGTCTTCTCGATGGTCGACGGCACCTCCTAACAGGAGAGGGATACGCACATTCCACCGACCAGCGGCTGCAGTTGGTGCATGGAGATTTCCGGTCGCACCTTACTTTGCGCGTCCGACAAGCTATGCAGGCTTTAATTTTCACGATCTGGGGTGCCATGCCGACAAAACGGTATCTGCTAGCAGAAGCGACCGACTCGTGTAAGTTGTAGACGGCAAACTCAGCATTCGGAATTCTCGGTCAGTTGCGTTTATTGTCCCTTGGCGGGGATACGAGGGGCTGTGCACCCCTCACTGAAGCTGATTTCTCGTAATCGCATTTCTCGGTGTTTCACAGAGAAAGCGACCAATAAGACGACCCAGAGGTACACACTTCATCAAGAATCCGTGAAATATAAATATATGCCTTGGACACACCACCGCATGTCAAATTCAGTGATCATTAACTAACTGACAGCAAAATGTGGACTTCTTATATGCGTGCCACGACTTTGTGCTGGGTTCTTGGTAGTATGATTCTCCGAGACTTTGAGATTGTTGACTAACTATAGACAGGCCTCTTCACTGAGCCTTCATCCGCGCAGGTTATCTATGAAGACCTTGACCTGGTACCAAAATACCTTAAAGCACATGCTATAGTCATGGGGCTCGTGTTCACCGTCATGCTGCCCCTTGGCGTATTTGCCATTCGGTTTCTCAAGGGCAAAAACGCAGTCTTGATACACGCTGGATGGCAGCTGTTTAGCTGGGTGTTGGTCATTGCTGGACTTGGATGTGGAATTCGGGTGGGAAAGATTTTGGACCGAGTGGGAACTGTCTCCTTTACTTTTATTCGAGTAAATCTAGATGTCCATATGCTGACTATGCTGAATATAGCTTGAAAACAATCCGCATACAATCATCGGCACTACTGTGGTAGTCCTCATGCTCCTTCAACCGTTTATTGGACTTGCCCATCACCTTAGTTTCCGCAAGACAAAAAAGCGGACTGCATGGACTCGTATCCATGTCTGGTATGGGAGAGCGCTGATTCTGTTGGGAATCGTCAATGGAGGTTTAGGATTAAAACTTGCTGCAAATACCACAAAAGGAAAGGTCGCCTATGGAGTGGTGGGGGGTATCTTTGGAATGGGCATTATCGTGATAGCGGCTCTATTTGAAACGGAAAACCTGACACAATGGACCCAATCGAAGAGAGCACCAGAGCGAGGGACGGCAGAGAGAACTGAGCAGCAGCAAGAACATGCTTAATCTAGGACATTGTGTGCTCAAATCATATTCTCTACTTTGGAATAGCAGTCAACTCCGCGTCTAGCTCGACGTAGGACATATTATTATCTTGCCGGCGACTCTATATACATAGTGTGGTGTATAACCCTAAATTATATGCAAGGCAGGTAATAATAATTTTCAATTGCACAGCGAGTCAGCTTCAGCACCTGCAGGAACATGGAAGGTGGTGTCTTCCAGTTCCTTGATAGTGTCTTGGGCACCTGCCTTTAGCAGATCGCGGTTGACCACAAAACGGGTGGCAGTGGGCGACCTGTATTAGTCGCTCTGACAGACTGCCGCGTTTAAACGGAGGTGGCAGATATTGTCAGACCCCTAGTTGAACTACGTCATTGAACATTCCGTAATTCTCTAACACTCCCCCTTAGTGCGTCCCTACTGTTAGTTGCCTCTGAACTAGACTTGGCACGACAATAAGGCCGTGTTGGTTAAGCCCCATTCCAAGACGCTCTTACCGTTGCCCTCGATATGAAATCAATTGCCAGTTATCAGTCTGCACAATTCGGCCCCCAACGAACGACACTTCGTCCGCCACCGACCTTCTCCCGATCTCCAGGCTGACTGAGCAGATATTAATACTATTGTTCGTCACGTACGGCGAAGGGGAAAAGTGCTTGAGTATCTGGAATTACATCTGACTCGAAGTTGGCGTTTGGGAACCTGCTATAGCGCTGTCTTCCCTTTGAAAACAATCAAAGTTCTAGGAATTATTCGTTACCGCAGTGAGGAACATTGGGCAAACGGACTATACCCAAACTGGCCAACCATGGCTTCTTCTGGTTGTAGGTAGATCATCTGTAGAACTGTTTCGCAAGACGTTTCAAATCGGCAAAAGCTTTGGCTGAGACTCAAATTGCTCTATGTATAACTATGACCATCTCAATTAGAAGAACATATCTACTCAGTGTAGTGGCAGGCGTTGGGGTTTGAGATCTTCTCAATGCGCGCGGCAATGCCCACACAGTTTTTGTTATCACCAGGGTTTGCGTCTCCGACAGAGACCCAGATAGACCAAGCACCGTCGATACTATGGGGACAAGCAATCAGGTGGTTGCCGGCAAACTGAAGGTGGCCATCCTTGATAGCCCACCCCTTGCGTTCACCGTACTTGGGAGTACCCTGGGCTAGGGTGTCGTAGCCAATGACGCCTTGGCCTACCGATCTGTTAGTTTCATCATGACAGGCACACAACGGAAGTCTTAATACATACCCATGCCGGACCGATCAACGAAAATCTCCTGGGGGGTGGCAGAAGTGTCGTAGAGATAGAGAGCGCCGTTCTTGATGTAGAAGGTGGCGTCCTGCTCCTTAGGGCGGGCGCAGCGGGCTCCCTGTTTCTTCAAACCCGCGAAAATTGTCCCCTTTGCAGCGTTGAAGCTAGAGTACTGAACATCAGAGCCCGAATGGATGGCTACAATGCCAAAAGCCTCAGATTCGGTGGCACATTCGGTGGCCGGGAGGGCAGCGGTAGTGGCTGCGAGGGAGGCAGCGAACAGCAGCTTCTTGATCTGCATAGTGGACGTTGGAAGAGATTGAGCTGAAAAGTGCGGCTGAGTCTAAATGAAAGGGGAGTAATGGAAGTATAGAGAGCGGGATTGTATGATGGAAGAATGGTAGGGGGTAAGGAATCCCTCTTGCTTTTATGTCATTCCACCTTGACCTCAAATCATCGGAATTATTTCGCAGAAATGTCGAGGGCCCATACATAGAAAGATCATTAAGGGTTGTCTCAAACATCGAAAGATGATTCGCTGAGATCGCAATAGCAAGGCCGTGCGAGTTACTCGTGTCCCTACGAGCTTTGCTTACTCGGGGTAGCTAAGAATAGCCATAGCTATAGAAAATCTATACTCTGTAGGGCCACGCATGTTTGTGAGTGGATCGCACAGTCTCAAATACGGGATATTCCCCCTTTAAGATTAGTCTCCGCATTTGAGGGTCACAAGGCTCTTTTTTTTTTTTTTTTTTTTTTTTTTTTTTTGCATTAGAAGGTAAAACCCCTTCATGAGATTCAATTAGGGGAGACGATATCAATACCCGTCTAGCGGAGGCGGTACTCGCGAGTTGCGAATCGAGATAGGGCGGCTTCCCAGATCTAACGTTACGCCGGCAAATTTCACCGCCGCTTCGGTAAAATCAGTCCTTCGGGGGCTAGTAATAATGAGCCTTCTGCAGCAACGAAGCTAAAATCCGACCTCCAAAATAAATGTCTCGGCCTATTATTATACTCAGGTGAGACCATAAATGCCAAGTACACCACATTGTCTCTCCGATCCGCCACTCGACGAGAATCGTGTCCAAGACTATCAATCAACCAATCAATAATTTATTTGCCCGATGTAGCTTGCTTTAGATACAGCCGCTATGCAGGAGTACTATCAGGCCTACCTGACAGCCGAGGGAATGACTCCCAGAGCACATAACCACACTAGAATAAAGTAATGACAAAGGAAAAACAAAAGGAGAAATGTGACCGTCTTCCCCCAGACCCCCACGGTCCAACTGCCCGCCTTCAACCGTCCACATGCCCACACTGCACCAATCGTCCTCGTTGCACTAGCGGTCTCTCAACTGCCTCACTTTCCACTAGCTTCCCCAAATCACGGAGCTCGCTAGACTCATCGACGCGACGCGCCCACGCGAACCATCCCCACCGAGCCATTCCCTCGACTGCAGCAGCCGCTTTCCGAGATTATATAGATGACAAGGGGTCGAGATCGACCAGAGACACACGCCCCTATTCGGCTCCCATAATACTCCCACCATCTCACTGCGGATCAACCATGTTTCGTCCCCTTTCTCGACCGTCGTGGCAATAGGATCCACTGTCTGAAACTGTTCTAAGAGACCTGAGTCAATGATTAATTTTGTCCATAGTCGGGGCTGCCAGCTATACCATACCGTTATGCTGCGACTGTATTCCTGATCCTTAAGGTTACTGCTACCTCACAACTGCGCACTGATCGCACGTATGATGTCGTGGAGGAGCGGGGTAAAATGCCTATATATAAAGTCCTCGCTAGCACCTGAGTTTTAGGGGCCAGCGATTAGTCTTGAAATCCTACTGTGTCGCACCCAAGTCATACAGCGAGTCTCTATTCCCCGAATCCGTAAAACCTCCCTATCAGGCGTATCGTGAGACTCCCCTGGCACAAGTATCGAGCCTTCCTAGGGGGCGCAAAGGATTTATGTGCTAGTCTAAGTAGGATCGAGTAAAGAGGCTAGTTGCCACTCTAAGCCTCGATGCGCGGTGGTAGAGGGTTCCTGCATTAGTAGAACGTCTAGGTTCTAGCTCGAATAGTCGTTGATGAGCGCTTCTATTCTCGGCCCCAATTTCATAATGTTCAACTATAGTACGCATAGGTTTGTTTCCCTAACATTGGGAGGGGTTAGAGGTTGCCGGGGTTAGACACTAGGATCGCTAGTTTAGTATTCACTACTACAGTCGAGACATCGGCCTCTCACGCCTAGTAGATAGTGTTGCCGTTCGTATTGACTAGCGCAATGTCCGCATCGCGGTGTCTCACCGCACGACCATACTAAGTGTCCAAATAGTTAGCACCGGAAGCATCTCTTTTTTTTTCCTTTTGATCTCATAGCGTTCCACGCTACCGATGTATAGTATCTCTGGTCGACTAGGAAGCCATTGTTTAGGATCCAATCTACACGCCCACCGAGTCAAACCAAATGCCTAGGGAGTGGCACAATACTAGTCAACTACGGTGGGTCATATCTGACTAGCAAGCCTGGAAAGATCCTATAGTAGGGGTCTGCAGGTCTAGTATATATCCTACCACCTTTTAAAGAAGGGTGGTAAATGGTTGGCTTATCTAAGCTGCCTCGACCTAGTGTTCATTGCCAGAAGGCTATAAGGGCTATTGGATCACCAACTGAGGTCCCGGTGACTATGAGAAATGGACAAATCTTCTTGTGTACTGTACAGCGTGTGTTAAATTTACCCAGACACATCGCTGAGCGACATGCAGGCTACCGCAACTAAGTATATATATATATATATATACTTCTACATACATGTATAGCGTCCCACTACCTGAAGACGAACTTAATGCAGCTCTAACCCTAACTAGCCAAATGGGCTGACAGCCAAATGTCAAGGTCGAAGAAGGTATACGAAATAATGGTAATGAATAACAATAGACCAATTAGTTACATGCACCCACCATCTCAAGAAAAGAGATAACGCTGCCACAACCAAACCCAACCAGCGATATGCTCGGCCACACTGAGGCCTCATAACAATACCCATCAGAGGTCACATAATCAAAAGGCATACATAGTGTCCATCTCCATCAGTCCAGGTAAAGGTTGGCTTCGATAGGGATGGGACAGTCGGTAGGCACCCGCTGGTTCACGTAGTCATCAATCCATGGACCATCACCCCTACCAGTCCACCATTCAGGGCCTCCCGGAGGGCCACAGTAGTAAAGAATGGTTCTGTCACTGTTACCGAAACACTGCTCAACACCATGTGCAGGCACATTGATGCCTCTTCCAATAACACTGCCAACTTGGTTTGCATTGGGCGCATAGATAATGGCCTGCCCTAGGTCTTCTGTGGGAGGCGCAACCTCACAGCCGCATTGCTGAACTCTCTCCACAGACACAGTAAACGCTGTGACAGCCTGGTAGAAGAGAACACAAATCTCTCCTCCCTCGTCAGCAACGCCATTACAGTTGAACGAGTTTGACGTCGAGTAGGTCTCAGACTCTGAGACACTGAACCCAAGAGAGTCGAACTGTGTGTTGGCGCCTAGGGAAAAGCTCCAACCAAGAGTGTTGGAGAAGCCAGTACTGGTAGACGATCCCGAGGTATCACACGCTATAACTGAATTACCCTTCTGGGTAATAACGAAGTTCTGGTGTGGGTCTCCATCTCCCACTAGGGAATAACCGATATTTGACGAGCATGGACCACAGATACTGTGTTCAGTCCCAATCCCCGTATTGTTGACAGAGGTACCATCAGCTCTCACTTTGATCTGTTTCATCCGCATAAAGTCCTCTGCAGTGACATCGAGCACTTTAGCCCTAGGAAGCGAGAATCCCACTGGGGCTAGTGCCAACAGCGTGCAGAGAACCCCAGGAATATTGCCGAGGAGCTTCATGGTGCCTTAAGATAGCAGGTGGTATGCAATGGCAGTTGTATATGTGCAACAATGATGCTTCTTGGAGCAACTGCGTGTAGATACTTCTAGATCACAAGAAGTTTTAGTTACGTTACATGCATTTTAGACGAGAAGGGGAATACTGACCTGTCGAGCAGTGGCAATAATAGCACTAGTGATAGCCAGGAAGAAAGAATATTATCAGAGAAGGTAGTTCGGATAAGTGGTGATGCCAGTGAAGATGGTGAAGAGCGTGGAAATGGCAAGACTTATATAGATATTTTCTCAACAGAGCGACGAGCGAGAACAGTCAATGATTTAGCCCCCGACGACTCGGTCAGATTGGTCTAGACGGGTCGAGTAGATACCATAGGACGCCGTAAATAGGGGTCAAAAATAAGGACGTCAATAGATACGATTTGTCTTTTTTGACAGGGGTACGGGTTTAGGTACTATAGACCGTAGTAGACACAAGACACCTTTCCTAATTGAGCATGTTTCATTACTATTAATACGTTGGGCCAACCCTACAAACGACATAGCCATACCGGTGGCTGCGTCGTAGTTCCGGTTGATAGCAGCCGATCCTGTGATGTGATGTCGGCCGGGCGAATGCAGTTGTTTGGATTCGCTATGTCGTCGTGATTAATATTAGCCTTTGGGGGCCAACTAGGTCTTTTCCTCAGCCTAATTGGTAATTTAAGGTGATTACGCTTGTGCACTCGTCCGGGGGTTCTGCATTATCCAATAGATACAATTTGACTTTTCCTGAAATGGGCATGGCTTCAGGTCCTGCAGACGGTAGAAGACACCTTTCCTAATTCAGTACGTGGTTTATTACTATTAATACGTCCAGCCCTACAAACGATATAGACGCCACGCCGGTGGCTGAGTCTTAGCCCGCTTGATAACAGCCGATCCCGTGATGTGCTGTTGGTTGGATTGGCTACGTCGTCGCGATTAATCTTGGCGCTTGGGAGCCAACTAGGTCTTTTTCTCAGCCGCATTGGTAGGGTGATAGGATTGGCTCAAACAAGCTTTAAGACAAGGCGGAGCATTTTCGGGGGCTTATCGATACCCCGAGCCTTTGTAGATTCGGCAAGGATCGTTCTCCAAATGAGATGAGAACCCCATAGTTAATTTCGGGTCAACGGACGGAAATACCGTTTTGGGCCCCTTCCACTCGGCGTCATGTTCGTGTTCTCAGTGACGAACATAATCCCGTAACATCAGAAGCTTTGGTCGCTTTTGTGGCTTAGCCCTCAACCTAGCGCGCCTGATGGTTGTTTTCTTGGCACCCCCTGATTGGGTACGATCTTCCGGTAGAACAGCTTTACGGCGAGCTTTGTTGTCTCTAGCAGCGCACTGTATTCCACCCCTGACCTACATGGCTCCAGAAACCCTGATCATCACTCACTAAACCTAGGTGATCACCGTCCCCTTTCTTAGATTATAATCAGCGAGTTGAGATGGGTTCACAACATAATGAAATTAAGATAGACAGGCATTTCTGCAGTAATGGAAATAGAGAATTGCCTATAGCGAAGCGTTTAAAAAGATAGGGAGTTGATAAACCAAATCAAGTGATTACCAGCGGAAAGTGTCGAGATCGTGTTTTTGTAGTTTTAGAGTCTCGTCAAGGCCTGCCGTGGCGTGTTGCCGTTGTAGGTGTTAGACTGCCCTCATGGCGCACGACTTTGAAACCGTTGTGATGCCTCCGCAAAGTCCAGTACAGCCTCCACTGTGCTGGCCCGCGTGGCAGTGTTTGCAGTGAGCAATAAAACGGAAAGAGCAAGCCAAGAGTTGCCAGAGATTATCCGGTACATATGTACACAAGGCATATAGCGCTGGTCGCAAGTCATACGCGCTAGTTTCGGGCCACGCTCAGGTATGGGAGCTGATATGGCCCGAAATGCTAAGCTACCATTAGGATCCATTCGCACGATTGGGTAGCAAGAGATGGACGCTTCTGATTATATATGCTGAGAAAAGTTCGGAAACATATAACACAACTTCAGATTTCAATTCAATGCTGATTCAAAAATCAAATATCCGATGCGAACAGGGTTGATAGCAAGAGTAAAATATGCACACAAAGATCATAGACTACAAATTAATAATAACACCACATGCCAGCTTATGCTTCTCAATTTTTGAGGGGTATTCTTCCATCACACCATCCCTTTACTCCTGAATCTCTGCCGTCTGATCATGGTGCTCACCGGCAGTTCCCACCTTGGGCGTCTCCTCGGTAGCCGGGCCGTGGATGTCGCCAACGATGCCCTCAGGGGGCACCCAGCTGGCGCTCTTCCAGGGCTTCACGTTGAGGACGTACATGGTGTCGACCTCCTCGAGAGTACGGCCCTTAGTCTCGCACACAAAGAAGAAGACAACCAAGATGGCAGCGAAGCAGCACGCGGCGAAGACGTAGCCATAGCGGAAGTCAATGGAGCTGGAGATGAACGGAGTGAAGAAGGAGATGAGGAAGTTCCAGGTCCAGTTGGCCGCAGTCGCGACACCCATGCACACGGCGCGGTAGCGGAACGGATACATCTCACCACAGATCGCCCAGACGATGGGCCCCCAGGTGGTGGCGAAGCCGACGATGAAGAAGCAGGTGAACACGATCATCGCGACACCGGCGGCGTGCGACTCCGGGTGGTAGTGGAGAACCTCGTGGCCCACGGAGGCCCAGATCATGAAGCAGATGAACATCCACCCGGCACCCACCATCAGGCACTTGCGGCGGCCGTAGTGCTCAACGGCATACAGACCGGGGATGGTCATGCCGAAGTTGACGGCACCAAGGATAATCTGCGTCACGTATGAGTTGGACAGACCAACGCCCTGGAAAATGCTGGTTCCATAGTAGAAAATGAAGTTGGCACCCGTCAGCTGCTGCAGGGACTGCAGAGCGATTCCCAGAACTGTGCGGTAGAACATGCGAGGACCAGTGAAGATCTCGTACCAGGCAGCCTGGCCACTGGCGAGCTCCTCATCCAGTTTCATCTTCATGTCCTGCATCTCCTGGAGGACAACGCGGTGGTTGGCTGGAACACCGTAGAGCTTGCTCATGACGGTGCGGGCCTCCTCAACGCGGCCGTGACGGTAGGCATAACGAGGAGACTCGGGAAGGAAGAGAGTGCCGAGACCCAGGATCAGAGGCCAGGCAAAGCCGATGCCCATAGTGATGCGCCATGAGGCGGTGGACTTGATGCTCTCGGTGCCGAAGTTGACCAAGTACGAGATGAAGATACCGAAGGCCACGAACAGCTGGAAGGCACTGACCATGGCACCACGGACCTGACGAGGCGCAGACTCGCTCTGGTACATGGGCACCACGCTGGACAGAGCGCCGACACCCAGACCAGCCACCCAACGGCCCAGGGCAATCTGGTACCACTTGTCAACGGTAGCAATCTGGACAACGATCCCGACAATGTGGATCAGAGCCCAGAAGGAAATCGACATCTTGCGGCCAATACGGTCAGCGATGGGGGCAGCGACAAGAGCACCGATCATAGTTCCGATAGACAGCTGTGGAAATAGTCAGTACAGATCATGATATTTTTGGGGGTTGTGCACATACCAGACCAACAATGAGGCCATTCCGAACGTTGCTGAAGGCATACTCGCCGGTTGAGGGGTTGTACTCAGCGAAGCGCTGCTTGAAGTCTACCATGGTTGTGAAACCAGAGATTTGACCTGAATATTGCATTAGTTTTAGGCCGATGGTTGGATATAACGTTGCAACTGACCAGTCGAGTATCCGAAGATGAAACCACCCATGGAGACACACAGGCCGAGGATGAATGACCGCCAAGTCAAGTACTTGACAGGACTGTCGTCAATGGTAATACCATCCTTCTCGAGGATCGAGTCCGCACGAGGGGGAGTAGGCGCCTGCGAGGAGAAGGGAGATGACTCTGGGGCGGCCTTAGACCGGCTGAACATGCCTCCAAAGCCCATGATGGGGAGACTGTTGTGATTATAGTATGGGCAGGGATGGAGGGAAAAGGAAATAAAAAAAATCAAAGAAGGAGAGAGAAAGAGGGGGGTGGGCAGTCAAGTAATAAATATGCCGTCAACAGAGACCCGGATTCCCCCTTGGGGTACCATGGCAGGCGAAATGGGGGCCCGGATCTCGTTTTCCCACGTTTTTGGGCCCGGAATGGGGCGGAGGAAATTTCAAGGCTCTCATGACTTGACAGAGAAGGTGTATGTGTGTGTAGTTCGGGGCTTCGTTTTCAGTGGAGAATGGGTGGGCCAGGCGATGACCGACTAGAAGCGGAAGTATGACGTTCAGGGTTTTGTTGTTTTGTTTTGAATTCACTTGTAAGACATTGGGGGCGGCAACATTCTCTTGCGTTGCCTCTATTTGTTGTTGTTTACAACATTGTTCTGTGAGCATCGGGCAGATGCTTGCAGTTGTGGTGTGGTGTTGTGTGCAATGATCAGCCGAGCTTCTTTGCCACCTTCTGGAAAACTACGCATTCCAGTTAAGTGTTGGGTCTATCCGGCTGCAAATCAGGCAAAGTGGAAACAGGGCCCGTGGGTTCCATGAACTTCATTGCAGTCGAGGACGGGCACAAGTGTTACACAATTGACATAAAGCACTATTCCTATCCGGCTCTGGTGCCGAAGACGAGCTGGAAGAGACCTTCAGGAAGAAATTTCCCAGTCTTGGTCCCTTGTGAGAAGACTGATCACTGAAACCGTTGGTGGGTTGAGCAGAAAAAAAAATCTGTTAACCTGCAGTGGGTCGCAAACGTGGATTCTTCAATGCCGCTCGAACAGATTTAGAGATGGGCTCATCGTCATCAAAGCTTGACTCGGACTGTTTTCGGCAAAAAACCATCATTGTTGATCTACAAAGCAGAGCAGATTCGCTGAATCTGCCCTAATTGCCAAACCGTGGGCAAGCCATCACTTTATAGAAACCACCTCGCTCACCGACTGCAGTCTTTTGAAAAGAAGCTGAAAAGATAAGCCTCAAAAAGTATCGAGGCCCCACTACCGGTGAAGCTCACTCGGACATCTCCCGTCGGGCAACGATTTGTTGTCGATCTGTCTTGTTGGGCTAGGCTCTCGGGGATCCACAAGAGACCCATTCGGCACACCGAATGCGTAGGCCAGTTTTCCCGATGTGCTCCCGAAGCCGACTCGGCATCGGGATCGACGTACCGTGTCCGACCATTGCTGAGGATGGCTGGGCTGACGATCGTCCGATGGGAGCTGCTTTCTTTAATATTTTGGGCGGGCGCTAAGGCTAACATTCCTCACATGCCCCCTTGTATAATCTTAGACTGGCAAAGAATTGTAAACATGCCAGATGAAAGCGAGACACATTGTTGATTGATCGGCATCCCTTGATTCTCGGGATCGTGTCTTAGGTTTCAGGCTAGGGAGTGCGCTCAGCAAAGACTGAGGGACCCGCTTCGGCTGACGCCCCTGCCGCGATCTGCGGTGAGCTGGCTTGGGAAACTCTGCCAACGCCTTCATTATGCTCAACGAGTAGGGCAAAAATAAAATAAAAAAAATAATTGGAGAAGCCATGTGGGTCGGGATCCAACGGTGCTGCTAACAGATCGAGCATTAGCGTCCGACAGTATCTGCGAACAGGGAAATAGGCACTTCGAGGTCCAATCATGATCCTCGTGCCTCTCATCGCTTGTTTTGAAACTTGGCCTGTTGGGTCTTCGGTGAGCTGGGAGATGAGTCCTCGGTCGATGCCGGAAGAGCGATACCGTGCACAGCCTCTGCACGGGATCCTACTCATGCCAGCTACACTGTATAGAATGTTCTCCTCTTTTTGATAATTTGAAGAAATTCAAGTCTATCCGAGCTTGCCTGATTCGTGGGCGAGCCAAATCTCATGCCTATATCCTCGTAGTTGATACAAGCAATTCTCAGTAGAAATAAATCCATTGGCCCGGCTCTCTGCTGTCTGACGTATACTCGATGAACCCAAAACGTGGTGGAAGTGTTCCATTCAGTCAAAAAAGTGACCGCCTGAGTTTCTATGCATCTGACAGCCTAGCCTGGATCATCCAGCGGCCCAGCCATGACGCTATACGAGGTCTATGTCCTCACGTCAGCCATAACCACTCCTGAAACATGGGAAACACTTGATTAAACCATGGTAAAAAGCTGTCACTATATTTTTATTCACGAGTGGGGTCTACATGAGTTGAGACACATACCAGTTACTGTCCACCCAGCAGTGGAAGGTGGTAATGTGGCAGTTATTCAGGTTGGAAGTAAAATTCAAATATCCAAAAAACACATCAATATTCATCTGTGTTGGTAGTGGTATATGCTTGTAACAACATCATCGAGTCAATCACTTTTAATCCTCTTGACATAAATGATCCTCCAGAAGCGATCTAGATGCTGATCCACTACAGTAGATAATCAATCGCACGTCGAACGAATGATGGGAAGGAAGGAGAAGAACGCCCAACACCATTTTGCACCCGTACCAAAAAAGAATGATTAAAAATGGGGTCCACAGCACTGCCATCAGGCGAGTCTGCTTTAACGGCGCTGAGTCTTGCCCATTCCGCGCTTTCCGGAGAACTGTTCACAATATTAGTAAAATATGGCAACTGGAGAAAATCAAACATACCAAATGCTTGGCCAGCGAGACGGTCGTGTGTCGATCGGCCTCACCCTGTCGGGCCATGCGGTTCATCTTCTTCTGGCCCAGCTTATACAGACGCTCGGCCTTGGTGCGAGAAGTCGTGTCTGTGACACCGTCATCACGACGGTTCGTAGCAGCCTGGCTGCGGGCGCGGCTCTTAGCACGAGCAATGGCCTGGCGCGGGTCGTCGAGATCCATAGCGTCGTCGTTACCGGCTTCGCTGCGGGTAGCGGTGCGGCCACGAGGCTGGCTCTGGGAGCGGGCACGCGCACCGACGGTGTCGACGTCGTAGCCAGCCGAGTCCAGAGCGCTTTCCATCTCAGACAGCTTCTTGGACTTGGCGCTGCGGGGGATGGCAGCGCGGTTCTTGAGCGATTTGCGCATCTTGGCTTCGTTGCGCATCAACACGCGCTTCTCGCGGATCAGGTCGGCCTTCATGCGGATATCGGCGTCCTCGGCATCCTCCACGCTCTCATCGGACTCGTAGTAGCCATCAGCCTCGAGCTTCTCCTCTTCCTCTTCAAGAGCAGCCAACTTGGACTCAATGTCCGGGTCCACAAAGTCGTAGATGTTCTTTCCATTCCACACCTCGGGGATCTTGTCGTGCTTCCACTCGTCGTCGGCGAGCGTGTAGTCGCGGTGCATGTCGAAGTTGTACACACCCGCACCACCGTTCTCCTCTTCAAGGTCACGCTCGAGCTTCTTCCGGTTGGGGTCGTTCTTGTCGTATTTCTTGAGATTCTTGACAGCCTCGGGGATGAAAGTCTCACGCTGGACACCACCCAGGGGCTGGGCGACGTGAATCCGAGAGAGCACATCACCCAGACGACCGCCAGGGTTGGCTCCGGAGTTGCTGGTGCCGGACTTGAGCTTCTGCGCCACACGCTCGGCGAGAAGCTTGTCACAGGCAGCATTCTTCACGGCGGTCACTCCTTCGGTAGTGGTGCAAGAAACCTGCAGCATCTCAACGTCACCCGACTTGAGAATCTCCTGCAGCTGCTCCTGGTACTCAGGCTCAAGATCCTCGGGGCGGCGAACATCAATCTTGTTGACCACAATGTAGACGATCTTGTTGGCGAACAGGGGCTTGATGCTGTGGAAGAGCTTGATTTGGTCTCCAACCGAGTATCCGCACTGCTCCGACAGATCCATGAAGTAAAGAATAGCGGACCGAAGATGGGCGACCGCAGTGATGGACTGCATTTCAATGGTGTTCATTTCCTCCAGAGGGTGATCCAGAATTCCGGGAGTATCGATGGCCTGGAAACGCAGGTATTTGTAGTCGAAGTGGCCAACGAACAGACTCTTGGTGGTGAAAGCGTAGGGCTGGACATCGACATCCGCGCGGGTGATGCTGCGCAGAAAGCTCGACTTTCCGACATTGGGGTACCCGCAGATCAGGAGGGTGCGAGTGTTGGGGTCAATCGAGGGCAGACGACCCAAATGTTGACGGACCTGTTCCAGGTAGACGAGCGGGTCCTTCAGGCGACGGCAGATGGTGGCCATGCGACCCAGGGCAGCGCGCTTGAGCTGCTTGCACTGGAACAGCGACTGCGCATATTTGATGAGACGGACGTAGTCGCGAGAGACGGTTTCAATCAAGTGCTTGGCGGTCGACACCTGGCCAAGTGCAATTCGGAAGTGGTCGGCATCGTAGAGAGTGTTCATCAAATCCTTGTCTACGGGCGGTATTAGACCCCGCTCGCAATTTTGATCAAAGTGGCTGTCAACTTACGGAAAGGATGGATATCCTGCAACCGAGGAAATCCATCGAGGATAGAGGTGAATTTCTCGCCAAATGTTTCCTGGGTGTACTTGACTTTTCTGGTGTAAAAACCTGAGAGGAGAAAAAATTTCGGTCAGCGATGGGACTTTATCGATAACCTCTTCTGATAGCCAATTTTTTTCCTTCTGGTCGCCTTGGAACACCACACAATCTGAATCTTACCTCTGATACGGCTGATCTTGAAACCAGCACGGATCTGCGTCGGCAGCTGGCGTTGGGTCCGGCTGAGGACGATATCGAGGAATTCCTGGCTCGTGGGCACAGGCGCAATCTAATCGGCGGTGAAAAAACACACATTAGTTGGTGGTTGTGGGAGGAAGAAAAGTCCCAAACTCACGTCCTTCCAAGTAGTCTTCATGATGGGCCACGAATCAGTCTGTCCTGCACGACGACTCGAGAATCCCAGTTGGTGACAAAAGGGTTGATGTGGTTTGCGTTTTCTCCACAAAAAAAAATTGTTACCGGCCCTTTTCTGCCGGGCGGCGAGTAGCCGCGGGGGCGGGATTGGGTGGTATAGGCGAGCACGTGATCTACAGTCTA